TTACCTCCTGCTTTAATTCTCTTTTGCCACGTATTCTTTGGTCAACCAGTAGTCTATTCGATTGTAAGGATATTCTACTTGTTTTTTATGGTTATCATTATAGTATTATTATATTGATTTCATAAAGGGTCTCGAGAAAGATTGATATAGGCATGCTCTGTGCAGAGTGGCAAGCTACGCTTCAGAGGTGCCGGGTAGTTAGCGTCCTTCGGATATCTTCTCCATGTCATGGTGGTGTGCTGGGAAACGAGCAGGCAGAAGACTGGCCGGTACTGTACCATTTTGTGGTGAATCGATGTTGTGAGGGCCCTTTGGGAGGGAGTGAACAGTATGGAGGCGCAGACAGATCATTACGGGTTGATGAGAATGGTGCTGCGGGGAGGTACCATGGGATCTGGCTGACGCTTAACACTCAAGGGAAAAGCGAGACGGATATACAATCAGACAGCTACTAGTACCATCGGAATTGGAACGCTTCGTATGCTGCTGAAGATGGGGACGGAGCGCTTATGGGAGTGTCCCGAGTGCTATGATGTCGACTGCTAATCCAACATTCAACACTTTTATATTGGTTCCAGTCTCACGTGTCAGAATTGAACTGAACTGAATTTCTACCCCACCAGGACATGACACAAGCGATAAACACCCGATGACACAAAGTGCCACCATGTGGATGAGGATCGCCGTGGAGAGGTCCCAGAAACCGCGTTCAGACATTTGGCCAATAATATGGCCTGCCTATATTGCGGCCCCTGGCAAAAGCCAGAATAGGGCTTCAAATGACAAAAAATTTCGTCCTAAAAAAGGACAAAATTGGATATAATTAACGAGCGTGTCAGAATTGGGTCCCCTTCATTTATATACACCTGTTGACGGCACTTTTCCATCTATTCAGAAAACGGCGCGATGCCAGTTGTCGCAATTTTGGTGGTGCCCGTATGTGATTAAAATTGATCGCGTTGGCAACTGCAGATCTGATGGTGACTTCTGCTACCATCAATGATGAACTGTATTTCTAACGTCGGACTGTTTGTGTTAGCACTTCTGGTGGCTACCGTATGCTTTAATGCGAGTGTAGGCTAGATATGCTTAGACAACAGTCTGTCAAACTTTCCACAAGGGACTGTGATAAACATTCTGTGTGTTTTTCGTTGGCACAGGAGCGGAGCAAAGATGAGGTGACCCGTTTGCTATGAAGCTGAAATTAAGACTACCAGACTACCAGACTTTTCCATCTTTCCGGACGACAGTTTTATATTGTTATATACTGTGTTTTATATACTATCTGCCAGAGAGAGCCACACTGAAACCTTACGACGGGTATAGAGCGAGCGGAAGACCCCAGGAAACATAGAGTGATGGTATTAGGAACAGCCTTACAGAAATGAACATCAATCTTAATAGTGCTATTGACAGATCTCATCAATGAAAGTTACATCTCATCCCGACACTTCCACAAGCTGGAGGAAGTATAGAAGAAGAGGAAGAAGTGTTATTTTATGCCACGAGTAGGCGTGGCACTCACAGCCTGTGGCGATTGCAAGTGTTAGTTCCTCTTCTCTGTAGATCAAAGTTTGGGCCGTATTGTAGAGACCATATGTTGCCCATGCATATTGATTCCCTTTCTCGACTTGCCTTGTTTAATACAAAGGAAAGGCAACACCAGTACGTTTGGAACAAAGCAGGCTGCAGAAGCTGCCGGTTTAGAAGAGCAGTGCTCTATCTGAGCTTTCCTCCTAGGCCAGCTGCCAGCCAAGGCTAAGGACCTGGTTCTGCCCTGCTATAACATAAAGTTTTCTGGTTGCGTTTCCTTTTCCTAGGATAAGGCTAGTATTCTCCCCAATATGTTCCTCCGGCCGAAGCCGCTGGAACAATATGGGATATCATGTTTGGTGCACGCCGCCACGTATTTGTGTTTACCTATTGTACAGTTAGAGAGAAGATAGGGGCTGCGTGATCTCGAGTCTTGGTGACCGCCTCGAGTGCTGGAGGTTTCTGGTTTAATCCCCGGTGGGAGCTGGAATTGGACATGGACTTCTAGTAATTCCTCCTGGTCTCTGGGTAGTCAGATCGGACGCCCGTGTGCATTGATTTGCACGTAAAAAAATTCCTTGGCAGCTGGGAATCGAAAAGAGTAGCCTAACGTCGCTGCCAGGGCAAACATTTACCCAAAGTATTTCAGGATCCGGGCCGGTGCTACAGAGCCTGTGCACTGGGCTGAGCTTCTTCGGACTTAGATTTATGTTAGAAGAAGAACGGAGCACTTATGGGTCACTATCCTTGTGTCACGATGTTGATCCGTTGTTCAAAAACCAAGACCTAGAGAAGATACTGGCTAGTTTGACATCATGGCATGGAAGATCAGCTGTGTCAGAACTGATTGAAAGTACGTGAACGAACCAGAAGAATGGATAAAAGAAAATGTCCCGGGAGATACAGGCTACCGGACTGATGTTAGCCACACCATCGTGGCTGTTTAAACTTTAATAATATGGGTTTCGTACTATATGCCAGATTTTATCATTGACCTTCTTTACCTATTATTGTTGTTGTTGTTATCATTATTATTTATTATTATTACCGGCGTCTGTGGCTAGGCGTTGCTAAAGCGCATTGTAATCCCGAGGTGTCGGGTTGGATATCAGCTGCATCCGATTTAGCAGCAAACCGCCTTGCGCTGATGTTGACAATAGTATCGAGAGCCGACCGTTTAGTTTGGTAAACTACTGAATGTAAAATTGCCTTCTAAAATCACGAACAGCCACACACACACACACACACACACATGCTGGGGTTGGTCTGCAACGTCCTGTAAATGATAGCGCAGTCGATAGGAGACTCGCTTTCCAAACCAGCTGCGACTCGCTTCAGCCCACGGCCGGTATTCGAAACCGGACAGTTCCCGGGGCTCACCCAGTCTTTAGGTAATGGGTACCAGAGTTAACACTCTGGAGTTCAATTGAGGAACGACGCTGTAGCTACGGAGATACGAGTGGTCGGCGACACTGGCGGACAGTTTCTTATCAGCTTTCAGTACTGGTGGCTGTGCACTTATGGTTTATAACCGTGTGCAGTGAGACTGCTTCACATCTCCCGACTTTACCTTTACCTTTATGATACGCAAGTAACTTTCTTTTACAGCACTGTTTTCTTATTATGAATTTGAACAAGAAGACACCAATTGGACACCTGCTTTTGCTCCGATGAAACTGACAGTCATTTTTGCACGTATTCAGTTGTGTATTTATTTCAGATGGAAGAATTCATTTATTTGCTTCATTTTAATCAATTGTTACAGTTGAATGCACCCGACGAGGTGCTAACTTATTATTTTTATGATTACTATTATCATTTAGTCGGCGTCTGTGGCGCGCTTCGTAATGCCAGGGGGCCGGGTTCGATCCCTACTGTGGGCCCTGCGCCTTGCGTCGGTTTCGACAATGGCATTGAGAAGCCGACCGTCTAGACAACAATGTCAAACTACTGGACGTAAATTTGCATGGAGAAACCACAACAGCCAGAAAATGCTGGGGTTGGTTCTGCGACGTCCTGTAAGGAATATGCAACTCTTTAATTATTATTTAAGGTCAGGCTGGCCTGGAAGCCTATGCAAGTTGTGAAAATGTCAGCCACGATAATGATTTGCACACGCGACAATGATTAGGCCGGCGGGCAAGAGGGCTTGCCAAAGTGATACCGTGGCTTCAAACATTAGAGGGGTCGGAGAGATAACAAGCAGTAAAACTGGGGAGAGGAAGAAAAACACCCCAGCTAATTAAAGCAGAGACTCGGTTTCTTAGAAAAGTACAAAAGAATATCATGGGCTGATACAGAAATCAATGGAGGTGTCATCGACGAGTCTATGGGTGCCGACACAAAGAAAACGTTAAGGGAGGGAAATCAAGTGTTCAGCCGTCTTTGAGTGCTTCATAATGATAATAATTATGATGATGAGGAGGAGAAAGATGATGACGACAATGATGTGTGGAACTGCAAATAAATAAAATAGTATATTAAAATAAAATGTGTATCATGGACACTGGAAGAGCAAAGAAAACGGGAAAGACCAGGGGAGACCCTGTGTAGAACCATCACCAGGGAAGGCTCAAGCATGTCCTAATGAACATCTAAAAATTAAAACAGGTGGCAGCGAATAGTCGGACATGGAGATCTACCAAGGGAGCCGTCATGGGCTCAGTGGGATACATATGCATAATATATGGATAAACACAAACGAAATAAGTAGAACTGCAATTTGTGGTTGGTTTTTAAAAAAGCCTGGGGGGGGGGGGGGGGGGGTTTGATAGCTTTAGGAGGAGTGGGGCTGAGCTTCTTCTCTACAATATTTATTGAGAGGCTAAAGGTGCCAAAGGCACCACCACTGCCAGGTGTCTCTGCTCCTTCTTGAGACAGATAAAGGCTAATCCGAAAAATTTAGCACACACAGTCATGATATTTGGGGACCCTTAATAAGAAAGAATAAGTAAGTAAGTAAATTTTACCCCACCAGGACATCACACAAAGCGATAAAACACCCGGTGACACAAAGTGTCAACATGCGGATGAGGATCACCCATGGAGAGGTCCTAGAAACCGCGTTCAACCGTTAACCAAAATAACAAAATATTGCGTCCCACATTGGGGACGACGTTGGTTAAGAAAACATAAACTTGAAAAACTGAATGATAACTGACAAACTAAAATATACATGCCTGGATTGATGGCTTGGTCACCACGCTTCTCTTGTTCAAGAACACTAATTGGATCGGTAATTATGTGAGATTGAAAACAGGAAAACTGTTGCAAGAGGATATATTCAGAAGAGGATGAAATGAAATGAAGTAGCCATCTGAAAATGCCACTGTCGTTTGTGCACAATCATTGACACTGTTTTTTGTGCACAATCTACTTAACTGACACTGTCTTTTGTGCACAATCTACTTAACTGACACTGTCTTTTGTGCACAATCTACTAAATTGATACTGTCTTTCCATTTCAGATTTTTGACTGCGACTTCCCGGCAAAGACGGTTCAGTACATCCACAACGGGTCTCCGCTTCTCCACCAGGACGTTGTCCGACTGTGGATTCACAAGTTCACAGACACAGCAACTCTGACTGAGTCTGTCCTCTTGACAATCTTCATAAGAAACACTTCTCACGAGGTGATATTAACTCAGGGACTTCGCCCGCTTGTAGTTCCAGAATACAAGGGGCTTTCCAATGCTATAGACTCATCGGCTTTAAGATTTCGGCACAGCTCTAACCAAAATGTGTCCTGTGTGGTTGGCTTTTCAAATTTCTTTTCTTCCTGGCCGCTGGCAGGTCAGATAGTGATGGGGGAAAGGAAACAGGTCGTTGACTCCGTAAAGAAGGAATGTCGGGAGTTTTTGTTTATGAATCTACATTACGAGCACCTGCGGTCTCCGACGCCAGACGTTGACTACTTACCACTCACTGTAGAACTCTATGATCCCGTTGTCAAGGATGAGGTTGTATCAGAGAGATTTTACCTACCCATCCATATCAAAGGTGCTTTCCAGAACTCTCCGCCTCACGCGTCGTACATTAACCTGTACATGATGGATGTTGACCAGTTCGTACTGTCAACAATTATCCCCGGTGTGATTTCTGCTGAGGATTACGAGACTCCGAAACGGCAGTTGGTTTATAATATTTCTAAACCTTTTGGAGAAGGTAAAGGATATTTGGCCCATTTAGACAATCATGCCAAACCTATTTACTCATTCCTTCAAGATGATTTGGACAATCACAGGATTGCATATCGACCTCCAAGTGTCAGTTATCCGGATCAGAGAGTCTACGAGGCAGAGTTTATGGTCTTCGATAGTCACTTCGTACAGGTGAGTGTCTCTCTTGTGCTAGAACAGGGCTATTCAACTGGCAGCACGGGGGCCAAATCTGGCCCGCGGAGGCCTAGCATTTGGCCCGCGGATCATTCCCAGTTGTATTGTAATATTGATTTTTCTATTCTAAAGTTTAGCCCTCTGGCTCGTGACGATCATTTTCCAAATGTTGGCCTCTCGGCAAACTTAGTTGAATAGCACTGTGCTAGAGGATGGTTTGAAAGATTCACCTTGTGCTTCTTGTCTTCTTCTTCTCTTTTTTTTATTTTGTCGCCTCACTTATGTCATGTTATAGCCCTGTCATGCTTTTTCTGTATCTGTCTTGCACTTCTCGGGTTTGCTTGGTTTGTGTATTTTTGTTTCTTCTGATTTTAGCCACATCATTTATTCATCTCCTTCTTGGTCTTCTCTCGTCTTTTTTCCCAACTGTTCCGCTTTAGAAAATCGCACATGTTGTTTAGTCTGGGTGCATTCCCAACAGATGGCTGGCCCATTTCATTCCTTGCATGTCAATGTAATTCAGACACGGTCCTAATCATACTTTCTTTCTAATGCTGGTATTCGTAACCCTGCGCCATCTTGTGTTGTTAGTGATCTTGCAGAGAAAGTTCATTTCACTGAGGTTTTTGTTTTTTTTACTGTTCTGGTGTCCTATTCATTGCCCACGTTTGGCACTGATAGCATAAGATAGGATGTAAAAAAAAAAAAAAGTAAAGGACCCTTTCCATGCCTTTAGACGTATAGGGCATATAGGGCTAGACCTATATTTTTATAGATCAACGGCACAATATGGGTGATGTGGTCAGCATCACGCCGGCCGCCTCTACTTCCCTGGATTGCACCCGGTACCCCCTCAAGGCTGGGTCGACCTGGGAGCCAAGGTCATTTTTGAAGGAAAGTCAGTCTCCACCAGGAAGCGAACCCACGACCTTCCGATCCGCGGCGCGCGTCTGGCCGCTCTACCACGGCGACTCCCAAAATAGGATGAGTATGCTATCAATACTTGTTTGTCTACAGACCCATACAACTCAGTGTTTGTTGTTAGGTCACAGAGTTACTGACCAAATATTTCTATTTCTGGCCATAAAACGCGCTGGACTTGATCTGAGGCCCGCCAAGTGAGCCAGATTTTGCAAATTGTAGACACATCATTACGGACTAATGAGTTTTTGTGTTGTGTTTGTCATTCGACCTAAGCCTGCTTAATACGAATTCTATAACCATCATCATGTAGCAGGTCCTTTGTAGAACTTCGCGCTGAAAGAAACTCTGTCTTTCACCAGCTCTCCCGCCTCGTGTACTTTCATATTCAAGGAGTCACTTATATCATGTACCCATCTTTGTGCTGGTCAACCCCCGCCCCACCTTCCTGGTACCATGCCTGCCTAAAGATGTTTATTAGCTAATCTTCCTTAATTTTGAGAACTTGTAAAATGTCAGTATTTCTTCTCTTTGTCTACGATATTCTGAAAATCTTTTTATAGCATTTCAGTTCAAAAGCCTCTATTTGCTTTCTTATGGACTAGAAATGTATGTATGTAAATTGTACCCCATCAGGACACCACACAAAGCGATAAACACTCTGTGTCACCATGCGGAAGAGGATCACCCTTGGATAGTTCCCATAAATCCCGTTCAGCCGCTAGGCCATATTTATGGCCCGGCTATCTTTAGGGCCCCCCGGCAAAAGCCAGAGTAAGGCTTCAAATAACGAGAAATTGCATCCACATGGGTACTCGATTCTACTTTGTTATAAGGACTGGGAAATAGTCCAGGACTCACATCCGTATGTTGCTATAGGGAAGATGCATGTTTTCAAAATTTTAATTTTGATTTCCTTGGTGGTGCTCAACTGCTTGGGTACCAGAAGGTTTTACCGGAGATTCACAGTGTATAAATAGCCAATAGGGGGAAAAAGCACCGGTGTATTGTTTTCAAAGAGTCTAAATACTAGGGGAGTCAGATTTCTTAAAATAATGTGACCAAGAAAAAGACCAGAACATATTACATGAGTAGGATTCACAGCAGTGCTAATTACGCATTACACGTTGTTTGGGGCTGAAAGAGTTAACCATAGACTTTTAATGCTCTTTAATCTTTGCATGGCTATGACTATCCTCCTTTTGATTTATGTCATTCTCCATTGTTATAACCAGTGGCGCTATTTCAGTGGTTTGGAATGAATTCTGTCCAAAACCCATTGCTGTGGGTACAGAGTTTATGAAACACTTGGCAGATACTATGTCAAGGCAAAAAGAGCTTTCCTAGCACTAGGAAGTTTATGGAGGTCAAGAGACAATAAACTAATACTAAACTGAAGACAGTTAATTCTAATGTCAAATCAGTACAGTAGTATGGAGCGGAGACGTAGGGAACAACTTAATCAATTGTTAACAAACTACGGACGCTCATTAAACTGGTGCCTGCGCAGAACAAAAGGAATTAAATAGTATGATAGTCACTAATGTTGAACTTTAGGAGAGAATTAAACAAGTTCCAGTGGACAAAGTGGTGAAGAAAAGATGCTGGCGTCGGATAGGACGCATGTTGAGAAAATATTAGAAAAGTATAGCTAGAATGTCTTTGCACTGCAACCTACAGGGGCACAGAAATAAAGCAGACCCAAGAAATACAAGGGCAAGGCAGCTACAGAGTGAAGTTAAAAAGATGGGGAGTAAATGACTTAAGTTGCACACAATAGCCAAGGATAGAACAACTTGGATTGAGTTGGCTGAGGGCATAAGCTGTTTAGCGGAAGGAAGGCAGAAAAAATAAACGAAAACGTTAGTCATGCGTCTCAGCATACCTGTTCCTACATCCAGGTGCTGTCGTCATTTGGAGGGGACAGATTCGGCATGGTAACTACAGCTTTCGATTTTTATGTTGTCTAATGTGTTTTCCCATCTCTCTGCTTCTTTCCATGAGTGACACTCAATCCACGTCAGTTTGCTTAATATATAGTATTGGTAAGGCAGGTATATTTTATTATAAATCCACGCCATTTACTGACATTGATAGGGATTCATAGTTACCTATGTGTTTTAGTGTGACTGCACGTACTTCATCATTTGCAGTGTGCTCTCTGCAAGATAAACTTGCTAAAGGATATCTGCTTAACTCTTCGCAACTCTTCTTCTTAGCGCTCACTGGCTGTAAACTCCGGTGGAAAGTTCTGCTTGTTCGTCCACTTCTGGACTTTGGTCTTGTTTCAGAACTTGAGTTTTGCGTTCACATCAGTTTTACTCATATAGCTTATTTGTATGCAGACTGTTGGTTCCTGGCCTCTCAATAGACACACTCCGAGTCTATCTCCTCCCCAAAATATGGGAGCCCCGGAACCCACAAGAGAATCTAAAGTGTGCAATTTTAAGCCTACATGTTGATTTGTGTGTGGAGCGTTTGTGAGTTATAATTATTAATTTTCTAATAAGCTTAAGAAAATCCACACTAGGTTCATCAGACACAAACAGATTGTAACACTAAACACTTCGCGAATGGCTGGTCTAACCTTCTTTATGCCACGTCATGCGGCTTTTCTAGGCAACGAACATGCAGATTATGTTGCAGACAGACACTTCGACTGCTATTTCTGGTCCGGCACTGGGCAGATGTGTAGTTATCTATGCCATGTTTAGCATTTACCGCGCAGACGGCATGACTCCGTATCGCGGTCTAAGCTGTGGATGAAGAGTAAAGCTGTAAGAAACGAACATTTCACCAAAGGGACAAGACGTTTGATTAATTAACATAGAACAGTCGTCATCGATCTCTTCTCGTAGGAGATGGGAGCAATAGTGGATCTGTCCAGAGTGCGGTGAACATAATCCCCACTAATCGCTAATCACTTTTCTTGTCGCTAAATAAATAAAAGTACTCATGTCTGTACGATTATACCTTTTGGCTAATCAGTATTAGCCGCCATCTTCTGTTTTTTCTTATAATCAGTTAGGCTACGCGCATGGTCACAACAATGTGTGCAGACAAAAAGACATGGTTAAGCAAATTTACATTTGCCCTTTTAAAAACAAGCAAGGGCAATTGAGTGCGGCTTTTTTTTTAAGTTGAATTATTAAATTTATTTAACTGCATAAATAAAAAAAAATACTAACAAGACAGACACAGCTAACTGTTGTCAACATCATCATCATATTGTTCCACTATATGACATACTGGGCCCGCAGTTATTCCTCAAACCCGTTCTTTCCGGTGCAATCCTCTCGATATCATAGGTGGAATCAAGTCCATCACCTTTGACCTTTTATTCCAACGTGTGGTTTAGGTTTCGGAGTGGACATTCTTGTTTCCTTAGCCCATTTCTAGCCGAGCAATTCATTGTACAGATTGTTGTTTTGTGTTTTCTTTGTTCAGAGTATGACGTAGCTCGTTAATATAAGAATTGGGATTCGAAAAGGTAATTACACTATTTGATTTGATCTGTATGTGTTTCTAATACTCGCCAGAGTCTGCCAATAACTCTACATGTTGCGGTGAGGCCATCTGACACCACAGCGCCCCGGATTTCCATCAATACTGGCCTGACATTGCTTGAAGGACAGAGCAGGGAGATCAGAGCGGAGCATTTCCAGGTGAGAGACTGCAGCTTCTCCGAAAAAAAAAGACCAGGTCTGTTCGAATGTGTGTGCTCAGCTGGTTCTCAGGCCAGTTGAAGATCTGCATGGCTTCCGCGCCTCTATTCTCAAACTAGAGGTTGTCGTATCAGATGCAAGGCTTTGTTGCACCAAACGACATCCATTCGCTTTTGTTGTGAACTCCCATGCACTTCTTTTGCCTTTCAACGTATTATTAATTACACAATTGGCAGCAATTGTCATAAATCGGTTGTTGAGCTTCTGATTCTGTAGCACCCGTTGGCCAGACTTTGCTTTTCCACCCAGTGTTACGGAATCCATTCTGAAGTCACTTGTTCAGACACTTTGACGAGTCTGACTTGTTCAAACACGTTGACGAGTCTGACTTGTTCAGACACGTTGACGAGTCTGACTTGTTCAGACACGTTGACGAGTCTGACTTGTTCAGACACCGTAACGAGTCTGACTTGTTCAGACACCTTGATGGGTCTGACTTGCATAGACACCATGACGAGTCTGACTTGTTCAGACACCTTGACGAGTCTGACTTGTTCAGACACCATGACGAGTCTGACTTGTTCAGACACCTTGACTCACTTTACTTCTCGCTCTGTGTTATCAAGCATGCAAACACGTCTAATTGTATCTTCAGTTTTCGCCACCCAAGATCTTATCTTCTCAGTCTTGACATTTAGCTTTATCTAGCGCACTATGCAGAATGACATGTGTGTCTGTGTGTGTGTTAGTGTGAGTGTGCGTGTGTGACTGTGGCTACTATGAGATATGACTTTGCAGGAAACACATGGAACCTATCTATAATATTCGGCTTGCACGTATATTTCTCATTTACACTACACGGGCCTCTCTGGTATATCCTAGAATTCCCCCTCATGGCTTCATTCTGTGTGCTTAAGATTTTATCATTTGCCTGTTTGATACAGCAAACATTCCGAGTCCATCATCTACCACATAGAGGATCTAGTGCTGGAATATCGTGAACAGCATTCTTTGTTCCATATCCATTGCTGTCAAATTTGTTAATGCATTGAGACCCTTCTGGCATTTCGTCGGCAACTGCCTTCACATAGTCCCTGGAGGAGAGTCGTTTATCGAAGGTAATACAGAGACCTCAGTTTGTTTTCATGTTTGATATTATTGTGAGGCTTGGATCATCAGCTCTAACAATCCTATTGTCTAGAGAGCATCATAAAACAACCGTCTATTCTGGGTTTAATCATCGGCGACTAGATCGCCTACTGGCTCGCCGGTAGGCGACTTCGTCGCCGGTCGATACAATATTTGGGTCTGTCTCCTTCGATCGCATCAACACTGCAGGTGTCTTTTTCAAGGCTCTTGGTGGCGTTCAGTGTTAAGCTATTTTATATAGTCACAATTATAACCTAAAGAACCACCCCCTCTTCGGGGATGGTGGTTGAATGTGACGATTTTTGTTACTCCAGCAAAGCATCTACCTACCGGGGTTTAATTCTTTTCTGGGATTAATGCCATTAATGTCATTATGTAAAAGTGGTGGCCTTTAAGTGTTTCTCCCAGGCAAGTCATTATGTTTACTGAATCTATCTTATTGTATGAATCTGACCTTTTTTAACAGTTCAATATGTTTCGTGAAATCCTGTTTTGTTTTTGTTTTCCAGGTGGTTGACAAAGATAACCTCAGCAGGGTCAGAATGTACGTCAAAGGAGGGCTGCAGCACGGAACTCTGACCGTCAGAGGCTCACACTCAGTTATCTTCTCCATGAAGGATGTGGAGGCTGGTCACGTAGTCTATAAGCACGACGACAGTGACTCTGTGAGGTGAGGGAAGATACCCAGGGTGGTTCAACATTATCTTTGTCTTAGTCTAGGCTTTACCTTCGCGGCAATCGGGTTTCCCCATCATCAGCATCAGGTGCCTTGCCGAATGGCGTGGGCGATCATGCCTCTCCACAATCTGCAATATCCTGCAGCATGTATCAGTCCGTGTGCTGACACACCTCCATGCCATTCAACAAGACTGTCAAGAATCTTCTCTTGTTGTCATCCTCTATCCATCCTTCCACAGATATTTCCAGTGGTCACAACATGTTCAATTTTCCCCCTTTTCATAAATGGCCAAAAAATGATGACTGTCTCCTTCTGATGTCTGTGATAAGTTGTCTTTGGGCTCCAGCCTCTTTCAAAACCTCTTGGTTGCTCTTTTTCTAACCCTCAATGACAAAGCTATATTGCATAAGATGTTGTTCATTTTATAAAATGCAGGTTTTGCCTGTCCTATTATGTTTCTTGTCTCAGTAATGCATCTTCCATCCGATCTTATCCATGTGCCTAGATACTTAAATTGCTGTACTTGTCCCAAAATAACACTATTGACTTTTATTACACATTTAGGAATATTCTTTTCTTTGATACCACCATTACTTCTGTCTTCCGATTATTCAAACTGAGGCCTATTCTTCCACTTTCTACCACCACAATGGCCATCATTTCCTGTAATTCTTTCTGACTTGTTGCTATCAAGACTGTATCATCAGCATAACATAAATTGTTTATATTGTGCAAACCAACCACAATTCCGGGCATATCAATTAAAGATCTTATTATTTATTCACCTCAAAGTAAAAATAAATCAGGTGACAGCACACATCCTTGTTGTACGCCCCTCTCTATGCTCTGAAATGCACCTAAACAGTTGTTAATTCTTATAGCTGCCTTTTGCTGCCAATACAGAATTTATTATTCATAGATCTTTCCCATCATACTTGCTCAAATTTATCATCAGTGTAGTTGCACTGTGTATAGTTCATCTCTTTTCTTTTGTGTTCAGTTCGAACCACATTTGTTCTAGTCTGCAGGACTAACTGTTCTCCCCTTTCGCATGCTATCTGAAGGTTTGACACCCTCATATTACAAAATCTCTGTCTAGATAGTAAACCACAATGTTATTTTCTGTGTGTTCTGTTCCTTCATAGACCCATGAGGGTTGTCCCTGGAACTGTGAACGATTGTGCCAAATGGAATTTTCTCGACATGTAACCAGCTACTTTGCGAAGAGAAACTGCGCCAGGCCAACGGAGAATATCATGGATACCTACTTCAACCTCCAGAAAAGTTATAATTGGGGCACCCTAACCATCACGTGTCACCAGAGGTCATGTGTGGGTTAAAACAATCGCCAATACTATATTAGGTAATTGCAGTTCCTAATTTCACAGCAAATGAGTCACCTCATAGTTGCTCTGTTCCTGTGTGTGAACAATGTGGAGGCGCTGGTGGATCATTACGGTCTGAGGAGAATGACGCTGTTAGGAGCTACCAGGGGATCTATGTGAATTTAGGCTTCAGAAACCAGTACGTCCATGGCTTAAGCGACAGGTAAAACAGTCAGATATAGATCAATTGTCGAGTTGTAATGGTACCTGTGGCTTAGGGGTTATGAATACAATTCTAAATTCTAAAATACTCAGGTCGATTTAGCTGCAAACAGTGTGGAAGTATACCATTTTGCGTTGATTTTCAACAATTTATTGAGCATCCACCGTGTAGATAGCAATGGCACACTACCAAATCTAAAATAAACCATATATGTTATATATATATATAGTATTCTCTTTAACTCTTTCGGTCCCAGGAGAATTGCTAAAGCAAGTAAAAGTCACCATCATGAATGCATTACTTTCAAATTGGATGCAGACATCGAAAGCACCCACTGTAGAAGCTAGATTTTCTGAATATGCTATCATGCTATGACAAAATAAAAAAAATAAAAAAAAAAGGTAAGGAAGTGTCCATGTATTTTATGGATATAAAACGAAAGGCTGACTGACTGACTGACTTTCTACCCCACTTGGACATCACACAAGCGATAAACACCCGATGACACAAAGTGCCACCATGTGGATGAGGATCGCCGTGGAGAGGTCTCAGAAACTGCGTTCAGACAATTGGCCATATTTATGGCCTGCCTAAATTGCCGCCCCTGGCAAAAGCCAGGCTGGGGCTTCAAATAACAAAAAATTTCGTCCTAAAAAGGGTGGGGGCTGTTAGACCATGAAAGGCTAAACATATGTCTTGCATTGTTTGGTTAAATACACACTAAAATGTTGGTTCAGGAAAGATGCATGTTCTAAAAACAAAAAAAAAACCTTTAATTGTTGTTGTTGTTGCTGATGCTGCTAGAATTGTACATAAACCAGTTGATTGACCAGTTTTCCCTCCTGGTCTCTGACCTGAAGGTTTGGAACCCAGGGACCCATAGAACCGCACCTTGATTACCAAGGTAACAGGAAAAATCCAAATATTCTGTTCCGCTTCCTAAAGTCTTGTGAATTGTGCTTAGGCTTGTTATGTTGTTTAAATAAACTTGCCTAATTTATAATATACTAACGTTTTTGGTAATAAAATAATACTGTATTTTGCTTTTCAGAGATTGGATTGAACTGAGGATCAGTGATGGCAGCAACACTGTGCTCTCCTCATTTCCTATCAACATTATTCCACGTGATGACACTCCTCCATACCTAGTGAATAACCTGGGTCTTCAAGTCAACGAAGGTGGGATGAGGAAGATCAGTGAAGATATGTTGTTAGCCCATGACACGGATTCTCTAGACAACAACATCATCTACACTATAGTTGCTTCTCCTAGTGCAGGAGACATAATTCGGTAAGAAAGATCACTTTTTTTTCACAGCTTATCAGTGAAATAAAAGCTTTTACAAAACATTGCAGAGAAATAACCCCTGTTTGTTTAACTATGAATTTTTACCTCCAGTAGTTTTTCACATCTCAACAGACTACCAAACACTTGAAGTCACTGACTGGGAACAGAGGGCCAGTCGCAGAGATGAATGGAAGTGGGAGATATCTGCAGCACCCGAAACAGAGGGTCAGTCACTGAGGTGAATGGAGATGAGCGATATCTGCAGCACCCGAAACAGAGGGTCAGTCACTGAGGTGAATGGAGATGAGAGATATCTGCAGTGCTGAAAACAGAGGGCCAGTCATAGAGATGAATGGAGATGAGAGATATCTGCAGTGCTGGAAACAGAGGGCAAGTCACAGAGATGAATGGAGATGAGAGATATTTGCAGTGCTGGAAACAGAGGGCAAGTCACTGAGATTAATGGCGATTGGAGATTCGGTAATGCTGGAAACAGAGGGCTAGTCACTGAGATTAATGGCGATTGGAGATTCGGTAATGCTGAAAACAGAGGGCCAGTCACAGAGATGAATGGAGGTGGGAGATATCTGCAGCAGTTAACCTCAAGAGCTCAGACTGCTGAATAAGAAGTTTACCATTGCACTGAAACTTGGGCTCTCAATACTACAAGATACATCGGAATTTCAAAGTACATTCACATCACCTATGCAACAGACATATAAGGGGACATAACCTTTTTAAAAAAGAAAATTGACCAATAAAACAGGTGTTATGTTGACAGCGAAGGTTGACTATAATGGATATCTAGTATTCTCCTTTTCTTGGCCTGACTATATTTCTCTCAATGGATATCCAGTATTCTCCTTTTCTTGGCCTAACTGTACTTTTTCTCAATGGATATCCAGTATTCTCCTTTTCTTGGCCTGACTGTATTTTCTCTCAGACAGCTGTGTATCCAGCTCTTGCTGTTATCCTCCTTTTTACACCACTGTCCGTTTTTTGTTAACTTATCTTCAACCTGTCCCTCCACAATGGTTTTCATAAGTGTGTTATGTCTTTTAATATGACCACAATGTTTGACATTTCTCTTTTTCATTTCTTTCAGCACCTTCTTTTCCAGCCTTTTCTGAACATCTTTGATTATTATTGTTTCTATGAAATACAGCGTATACGTCTATATCTACATCCCAAGATTTCAAATCAACTTTTTAATTGCTTGTTCATTGTTCAGGTCTCTGCATCATATAGTATTATCAAGTGTACATACATTTTGACAGTTCTGATGTCGCTGTGACTACCCCCCCCCCCCACCCCCATACAATTTCTAGGTGTCAGTTATTTGTACACAGTCAATGTACTGTTGACCTACTTCCTGTTAACATTTTGATTTTCTCTATTTTCCCAACTTTAAGGTGATACAACATGGTGAATCCCCAGCCCCTTTTCTGAGGTCATCCATGTTCTATTTCATCTCTCAAACACACTTTTCTATTTCACTTTACAAACTGTTAATCAGTATAACTTCTTTTGTCTTGTTCTCCATCTCAGTCATTCCTTAAAGGTAAAGGTAAAGTCGGGAGATGTGAACCAGCGTCACTGCACACGGTTATAAACCATAAGTGCTCTGCCACCCGTGCAGACAGCTGATGAGAAACTATCCACCTATGTTGCCCTCCGCACGCAACTCTGTAGCTACATCGACTTTCCTCCATTTACCCCAAAGTGTTAACTATGGTACACATTACCTTGAGGCTGGGTGAACCCCGGAAAATCGCCCAGTTTCAAACACTGGCCATGGGCTGCAGCGAGTGGCAGCTGGATTTGAAAGTGAGCCTCCTATCGACTGCGCTTACGCAGTATTACTCCTACTTCACACGTGACTTGTGCCTGTGATGTTGCACTGCACCGACAAGCAGTATTTATGAAACCATATATGAACTTGGTAGACAAATGGGAACCAAATAGGATCTTCAAATATCCCTCAAGGCAGGCCATCAGGGTGAGCTCCATCAGCACATCTTTCTTACACAAGCTTTGTTTAGTCAGTCAGACAAGTTTTTTGTTTGTTTTTTGCAGACTTTTGTTGCTCCGTATCTATCAGCGATCTCACCACTTAAACTGTTTATCCTCTGAATGTTTCCTGCTGTGTGATTTACAAGACTGTCATGTTGGCTGATGTGTGATCCACAAGACTGTCATGTTGGCTGATGTGTGATTCACAAGACTGTCATGTTGGCCGATGTGTGATTCACAAGACTCAAAATAATTGGCATGCCTCTTTTTTATTTTAATTCTTCCATCGTTTTCATTTCCAGCTTTTCTAAGACTGTTTTGTTTCTTTATTTCCATTAAGTATTAGCTATTCTCCAGTACCCATGTCATTTCATGAAATGCATTTTCTTGGCATATTCACATTCATGGGACATCAGTTCTGTGTGTTTATATGTTCAGTCTAAGTTTCTATATCCTACAGTGACATGTAACATGATTACACTATTTTACAATTTCTAATTTTATTCTGGGAATTGTTAATTAAATTTTACAATTTCTAATTTTATTAATTTTATTGTGTGTTTTTTTAAATATTGTTGAATAAAATTTGATGGCATTCATTTAAAAAAAAAAATCTGTTTCACTTTTTTCTGATTTCCTAAATAGCTTCTGGGACCCTATTTGGAAAGGGGGTGGAGGGACTAGACCTTGTAACAAGTATGTTGTAAAAGGTGGTTTTTTCCTTCAAAGTTAGAGTGCCCAAGAGACCAGGAACCAAGAGTCTACATACAAATACACAACATTTGTAAAAGGAATGTGCATGCAAAACTCAAGTTTTGGAACAAGAGCAAAGTCCAGAAGTGGATAAATAACCATCACTTTCCACCAGAGTTTATATCTGGTAGGCTAAGTAGAGGTAGAAGAAGAAGAAGAATTCTGGTATCAGATATTATATCCCTGAAATATGAGAAACACCTTACTTGTTCTAGTATCTTTCCATCTAACCTTTTCAATGCATTGTAATTATGAAAGTTTAGGTACAGACAAAGTATCTCTCAAAAGATGTTTCACAGAATATGCAGAAATGTTCATATACCATTAAACCTGATTTCCCAGAAAGATACGCCCATCTGATACTGGCACCAAGGTGTTTGGATTCCGCCAGCGTGAGGTCATCAAAGGTCAGATTTATTACCGCCACCATGGTGATGAAGTGTTCAAAGACTCACTGACCTTCACCCTTCAAGACCTGCAGGACCCGCCCAATGAGTCCGAGACGATGGAATTTGAAATTATCATCAGCCCGATGAATGAGAACCCACCCCAAATGGACCCCAGTGGTATGTTGATAGTAGATACTTGTAGAAAAGCACATTTTCTTTTTCCAGTTTAAAGCTGGATTAAAACTGAATGGATCAACCTCATTGCACCAGACTGTATTGCATATGGCTCAGTCTCTCTCCACAGAAAGGTTAGCCATCTGCTAGGAGTGTCACGCAAGCACAAACACCATAACTCCAGGGATCATCCCCAGCAGTCTCCATAAAAGTTGCACTCATGAACACAAAAACGCAGCCCTGAAATAAACCCATCACCTTTAAGAGGCTGAGGCCGAATGACTTAACCACTTTACCACGGAGACTTCCAATGTTCTAGTCTGTGTCTAATTGTTGCTGAGTTAAGTTTGGATAAGAACTAAAAACACAGTATTTGGGACATTCAAATAAGAGCTCTGTCCCCATATTCAGCAGCCATCAGACCAGTAGCGGTCTGGTTTTCCATATTTCGATACCTCTGAGTGTTGAATGTTGGCCGGATCTCCTGATCACCTCCTGCTGAGAAATAATTACCCACATCAGGAAGAGACCATGTACACTCATAAAGAGAACTGATTGCCTACATCAGGAAAAGACTATGTACACTCATAAAGAGAACTAATTACTCACATCAGGAAGAGACCATGTACACTCATAAAGAGAACTGATTGCCTACATCAGGAAAAGACTATGTACACTCATAAAGAGAACTAATTACCCACATCAGGAAGAGACCATGTACACTCATAAAGAGAACTGATTGCCTACATCAGGAAAAGACTATGTACACTCATAAAGAGAACTGATTGCCTACATCAGAAAAAGACTATGTACACTCATAAAGAGAACTGATTGCCTACATCAGGAAAAGACTATGTACACTCATAAAGAGAACTGATTGCCTACATCAGGAAAAGACTATGTACACTCATAAAGAGAACTGATTGCCTACATCAGGAAAAGACTATGTACACACATAAAGAGAACTGACTGCCCACATCAGAAAGAGACCACGTACACTCATAAAGAGAACTGATTGCCCACATCAGAAAGAGATTGTGTACACTCATAAAGAGAACTGATTGCCCACATCAGAAAGAGATTGTGTACACTCATAAAGAGAACTGACTGCCCACATCAGAAAGAGACCACGTACACTCATAAAGAGAACTGATTGCCCACATCAGAAAGAGATTGTGTACACTCATAAAGAGAACTGATTGCCCACATCAGAAAGAGATTGTGTACACTCATAAAGAGAACTGATTGCCCACAACAGAAAGAGACCATGTACACTCATAAAGAGAACTGACTGCCCACATCAGAGAGAGACCATGTACACTCATAAAGAGAACTGACTGCCCACATCAGAAAGAGATTGTGTACACTCATAAAGAGAACTGATTGCCCACATCAGAAAGAGATTGTGTACACTCATAAAGATAACTGATTGCCCACATCAGAAAAAGATTGTGTACACTCATAAAGAGAACTGATTGCCCACATCAGAAAGAGATTGTGTACACTCATAAAGAGAACTGATTGCCCACATCAGAGAGAGACCATGTACACTCATAAAGAGAACTGATTGCCCACATCAGAAAAAGACCATATACACTCATAAAGAGAACTGACTGCCCACATCAGAAAAAGACCATGTACACTCATAAAGAGAACTGACTGCCCACATCAGAAAAAGACTATGTACACTCATAAAGAGAACTGACTGCCCACATCAGAGAGAGACCATGTACACTCATAAAGAGAACTGATTGCCCACATCAGATAGAGACCATGTACACTCATAAAGAGAACTGATTGCCCACATCAGAAAAAGACCATGTACACTCATAAAGAGAACTGATTGTCCACAATAGAAAGAGACCCTGTAAACTCATAAAGAGAACTGACTGCCCACATCAGAGAGAGACCATGTACACTCATAAAGAGAACTGATTGCCCACATCAGAAAGAGATTGTGTACACTCATAAAGAGAACTGACTGCCCACATCAGAGAGAGACCATGTACACTCATAAAGAGAACTGATTGCCCACATCAGAAAGAGATTGTGTTCACTCATAAAGATAACTGATTGCCCACATCAGAGAGAGACCATGTACACTCATAAAGATAACTGATTGCCCACATCAGATAGAGACCATGTACACTCATAAAGAGAACTGACTGCCCACATCAGATAGAGACCATGTACACTCATAAAGAGAACTGATTGCCCACATCAGAGAGAGACCATGTACACTCATAAAGAGAACTGATTGCCCACATCAGATAGAGACCATGTACACTCATAAAGATAACGGATTGCCTACATCGGAAGGAAATAATCTACATTCTTTAGTCATGTCATGAGAAGGAGAAAACTGGAGTGCATAGTGAGCGTTGGAAAGTTGGAGGGGGAAAGAGGTAGAGGTAAACTGAGAGAGAGGATGCTGGACAGTTTCACATCATGGCATGGAACACAATCTGTGTCAGAACTAATTGAAATTGTAGGGTACAGAAGGTTGTGGATAGACATGACTACCAACGTACAAGAAATGGACTTATTGAGAGAGAAAGGAAAAATTAGTCATATTGCAGACTGTGGTGTGTGTTATTGGTAAGGAAGTAAGGAAAGGGTTCTTTTTGTGTCAGTTTTATATATATTTATGGGGCTGTGTGGTCTCGTGGCATGGTGTCCGCCTCGAGTGCTAGAGTTTCCGGGATCAATCCCCGGTAAGGGCAGTGATTTTTCCCTGTCGACTTGGACTTCTAGTAATTTCCCCTGGTCTCTGGGTAGTGAGATGGGACGCCGGTGTGCATTGTTGCGCGCATAAAAAATCCCTTGGCAGTTGGAAATCGAAAAGAGTAGCCTAACTGCGCTGCCTGGGCAAAATTTGTAGTTAAAAATCTACCTGAAATATTTCTGGATCCTTGCCGGTGCTAGAGACCTTGTGCACTGTGCTAAGCTTCTTCGGACTCAGACTTGAGTTAGAAAAAGAACGCAGCACTTATGGGTTACTACCCATGTGCCATGATGTTGATCCGTTGTTCAAACTTCAAACTCTTTTACTAGAACCTGCAGGCAGTAGAGGAGTAGGAAGATGTAAAAACACGCTGAGATGAGATTTTTAGCCAGGTGAACACTAAGCAGAGGACACTGAGAAATCTGCATATCACAACAAAAGACAACATGACCTGGTGTGAGTTGGTAGAGAATCGATGCTTCACTTAGGGGAAGAGCAGAAGAAGACAAACTTAGTATGCAATCTGCCATTGGTTTCTCTTAGTTTTCCTGTTACCAGGTGGATCCAGCCTAAAATTGGTACCAGGTACCAAGTAAAGTTGACCACATCACCCACTGAATGCTGATTCGTCCAATGTGAATATTTCGCCTACGAACAGGACACTGCAGGCTCAACTACCACATGCATAAAATAAAGATGGTACAGTCCCCACAGTGTGCCTGTCAGACGGGACCATAAACACCTAAGCACATTCTGCAGACCTGCCACTCTACCTACAACTTTGAAAAGACAACTGGCCTCAAGAGCCAAGTGTGCAGAGCAAGCTATGGGGAACCATGAAGGACCTGCTACTGACATGCGAGATCATAGAAGCAACCCACTGGATGGTCTGATCTGAGCATATGAAACCGAACGCAAAGAAGAAGAAGATATCCAAAGTGAATAAGGATATGGAAAAGGGTCCTTTACTTGTACGACTACGTAAATATTGATTGTACAAAGCCAGATGTTTCATCTGTAACTCACTTGATATGCCTGCCACGTTGTCTCTTTAATGCGTCATTTCTTCATTGTTTTCTGTATGAAGCATAAAAATACATTTGTTAAATGATTCTTTCCCTTCTGTGAACAGCCAAACGAATCATGCATGTCGATGAGACGAACATTGGATACATCAAAGCTGCTGAACTCAGATACACAGACGTGGAATCTACAAACAAAGACCTTATCTATACCATCACAACACCACCATATTTTGTGTACAACCGTGGGGAGCGTGATGCAGGGAAACTGGTGTCCACACATAACCTGACCACTGTGACTAAGCACACAGATACACCAGCAGGTAGGCACATTGTAAGTCTACCATGTTCACAACAGGATTATAGAATTCCATAAAGTTCATGTCTTTTCTTCTTCTTTTCTCCTTTTCCTCCTGCTCCTCATCCTCTTCCTCCTCCCTTTTCTTCTGTATTCACCTTTAAAAGGGTGGTTAGCATATTTTTGTGTGGTTTACAGCTGGGCATCAGAATCTGTTCTTTTTGCCCCAACATATCCATTTTCAACAAAACCATTTAAGTGGCCATTTACGTCATGCTTATTATGGGTTAGTAGGTAATTTCTTTTCCCCAAGAATGGGGCACTGACTGGTAGTGACATCCCCAAGAATGAGGCACTGACTGGTAGTGACATCCACAAGAATGGGGCACTGACTGATAGCGACATCCCCAAGAATGGGGCACTGACTGATAGTGACATCCCCAAGAATGGGGCACTGACTGGAAGTGACATCCCCAAGAATGGGGCACTGACTGATAGTGACATCCACAAGAATGGGGCACTGACTGATAGTGACATGAAGACAATATTATTTTATTGTATTGTGTATAAGAATTAATTCTGTTGTATATCCTGTAGAGTTCATCATAAATCAACAAAAGAAGTTGTTGGCAGTTTTACTAGGCAATTTTCATTTCAGTAGTCAGAGATTTAAAAAAGGTGCTTTTGAACTGAAATGCTACAGTAAGGTTCTTATAATACCATGAACCTAGATAAGAAAAACACTGTACATCTTACATGATCTGAACATCAAGGAAAGAAAAAAAAAGGTTAAAGGATCTCCACAAAAATAGCAGGGCGCAGCCATAGAACAAACCCATGACCTTCAGAGCGTGAGGTGAAGGTCTACTTCGCCACAGAGATATCAAGGAGAATTGGCTAATAAACAGCATCCTCATTGGAAAGCCAATGTATTTTGGCCATGTTAAGTGTCATGGTGGCCTGGTGAAAGACGAGGCAGAGGCCGACCTCCATGAAGGTGAATACAGGACATTGGAGATGTACTGGCTATAAAAGCACATAGGGCTGGAGAATTGCCTAGAGAAAGAGAGATTTGCAGGTGGTAGCTGACAAGAACGACGTTCTGTAAAGGACCATTGTAAAATAAGCATTAGGCATTTGCTACTAAACCCATGTTTGTATAGACCAGTCAGCACTTGGTGGATGATTTCGGGTGGGGTGGGGGGGGGGGGTGTTGAAAAACATCATCCTGCCACCTTTATATGTAAAAGAGCAAGAGGTGCTCAGCAATACAAATGGGAGGACAACATCAGGAGATGAATGGGCAGCATTCTGAGAGAGTGTACAATCAAGACAAGTGACAGAGCATATTGGAGATCCACTGCAGTCAGCCTTCACTGTGTAGGTGGCACCCGTTTGACAATGGCACACCCAGATATTTTGGGGGGGGGGGGAGGGGGTGAGGTCGTAACTGTTTAGACTGGGTCGACATGGTAGAATATAAATTGTAACAGTGCATATGCCTGGGGCGTCAGGTATCAACAGTATGCATACAAATAAGCCAGATCAGAAATATGGATGTGCCTGCAAAATACAAGTTGTGGAACAAGACCAAGGTCCAGAAGGGGATGTACAACCAGAATATTCTGCTGGAGTTAGCAGCTGATGAACGCTAAGAAAAAAAACAATGCAGATTCGAATCCAAACCCTTTGGGCCAGCAAGCAAATGCCCAACCACTTCATATCCCTGAATATGAGCCTTAACCAAACTAGCCTGTCAGTTATTATTTGGAATAGGAAGAGCCCATTAAAGGATGGTTGATTTGTTTGTATTCATGAGCTGCTGGCCCAAAGATCTTGAGCTGGAATTCCTGCGGTGCTGGCCCAAAGATCTTGAGCTCAAATTCAGCGGTGCTGGCCCAAAGATCTTAAGCTCGAATTCATGCGCTGCTGGCCCAAAGATCTTGAGCTCGAATTCATGCGGGGCTGGCCCAAAGATCTTGAGCTCGAATTCACGCGCTGCTGGTCCAAAGGTCTTGAGCTCGAATTCACACACTGCTTTCCCAAAGATCTTCACGCGGTGGCAGATTTTTGTTATCAGAATCGACCTTGGCTCCCTGGCCAACATAGCCAAAATGGGTACCAGGTAATGTCAAGGGAAGTAACGTTGGGTGGCATGATATTGACTAAACCATCCACAGATGGTTTGTTAAAAAATGAGTTAAGCATGACATACTGAATACGCTACTGGCGAACAAAAAAAGGGTCGTTTATATCATTTGAGTTTATTTGTACTGATGTTATAATTGCCATGCATGACTTGTCTGTGTCCAGTTACCAGGTTTTCCCAGCTGGACATTGACCACTTGAAGATTGCCTACATCCCACCATTGTCCGACATTGGTCCTGAGTCAAGACTGGTCAGAATGGCATACACAGTGGAGGATGGCAGTGGAAATAAACTCTACGGGCAGACGTTTGACATAGAGGTGAACATTTCATGTCTATCTTCTATGTTTGCCTTCCTCCATTTGTCTTCTCTGTTTGCCTGTCTTCTCTCTCTCTCTCTCTCTCTCTCTCTCTCTCTCTCTCTCTCTCTCTCTCTCTCTCTCTCTCTCTCCCCCCTCCTCTCTCTCTCTCTCTCTCTCTCTCTCTCTCTCTGTCTGTCTGTTTAATATAGGAAAAACAAATGTTGCAATTTTGTCATATGTATTAGGTAAAAGTCAGCATATGTGGCATAGGAAATGCGAATGCGCTTCGTTATACCTGGGTGCGGGGTTGGATTCTAGCTGCGAACAATTTGTCTTGCATTGGTTTAGACAGTGGTACCGACAGCTGACCATTCAGAAATCAATGGCAAACTACCGAACATAAAATTTGCCTAGAACAACCATAACACCCACACACAAAAAACGCTGGGGTTGGTTCTGCAAGGTCCTGTAAAGGATAAGGTATTATCCTGGTAAGTAAATTCAGCCGACGCACGACCGGCTCCAGCTGATAGGCCGTGCTACTTACGTCACCGGGTTGGGCTAACAATGCGTTAACACAGCGGTTCTCAAACAAGAAATAAACTATTATCGACAGTGTCAAGGCAAGACAAATTTTAACTTTTAAGTATCTAATTGCCTTCTTTAATAATTTCACAATTTTTAGCCGACTTTTCTGATTATTGCCGCAGCACCCCTGGCATACGCTCACGGCACCCCAAAGTGTCTCGACACCCAGTTTGAGAACTGCTGCGTTAACGCATCTTAAGCCCGACCCGGTGACGTCAGCAGCACGGCCTGTCAGCTGGAGTCGGTCGTGGCCGACGTGATGTTGACTACACCAGCTGCGGAGTACCATTTGGTCTAAAATATACGAGTCAAGCATGATATGCCGGAAGCATCACTGGCGAATAAAAAATATCTTTTTCCTGTTATTTACCTAGTATATCTCATGGTATGAAAAGTATCTATTACTTTAAATACTTCTGTGCAGGAAATGACATCCAGTCCTGATTTTGTTGTTGCTGTTACATGTTTGTAAAAATGACACTGATGGCATGCTGTGTATGTATGTAAGTTGTACCCCACCAGGACATCACACAAGTGATAAATACCCGGTGACACAAAGTTGCCACCATGCGAATGAGGATCATCCGTGGAGAAGTCCCGGAAACCCCGTTCAGCCGTTAGGCCATATTTAAGGCCTGGCTAAATTTAGGGCCCCCGACAAAAGCCAGGGTGAGGTTTCAAAATAGCTAAAAATTGCATCCCACAAAGGGTGTAACGAGAACTGATGGTATGCTTCTGTGTTCACCCTTAAAAGGGTGGTTGGAATGTTGTGTTGTCATTTACAGCTGTGCTGCAGTTTCTGTACTTTAGGGCCTACCACACATGATTTCATCATCATCATAATCATCATCAGTTCTCGTTATGCCTAGTGGCACGTGAGGCTTCAGAGAGGACTTTCCAAGCTTTCCTGTCCTGTGCAATCTTCAGTGCAGTTTTCCACTGCTTTGCCGCACTCAGGTCACTTTCCATCGTTCGTCTCCATGTTGTTTTTGGGAGCCCTTTCTTTCTCTTTCCCTCTGTAGACTTTAAAAGTTATGAAACTTAACATGTATACTCCTACAGTATGTTGCAGTTATTACATAATCTGTGCATTTGAAAATAACCATATGGGCACCAGAGGCCTTGGGGGGGAAGAGAGAAGGGGAGCCGGCGCTGGAGGGACAGACATCATTACCTGGCGTGTTGTAAAAGGTGACTAATTGAGAGTGTTTTCTTTAAGTAGGAATACATCTGCCTGAGAGTCGCGGAACCAACAATCTGCATACAGATAAGTCAGATCTGTAAAGTTGGGAAATGTGAACCAGCGTCATCGCATACGGTTATAAACTATAAGTGCTATGCCACCAGTACGGACAGCTGATAAGAAATTGTCTGCCTGTGTTGCCCTCCGCACATAACTCAGTAGCTACGGCGACAGTCCTCCATTTACCCCAGAGTGTCAGCTCTGGTACCAATTTCCTAGAGGCTTGGTGAACCCCGGGAACCACCCGGTTTTGAACACCGGCTGTTGGCTGCAGCGAGTCGCAGATGGATTTGAAAGCGAGTCTCCTATCGACTGCGCTAACATTGCCCCCCGAGTAAAATTGGTGTGAATGAAGAACTCAAATTGTGGAATAACCCCAAAGTCCAGAAGTGGAAAAAAGAAGACTTTCCACTAGAGTTTACAGCTGGTGCCGGCTAAAAACTAAGAGAAGAAAACCCCAAAATAATTGACAAACAAAAATATCCAATATTGAAAAAGAAAAAAAAAACTGTATATATCACAGTTATAACCCCAATTGATTGAACAGGCTGTTATTGTTTAAAATACTTCTGCTAATATTGATCATTTGTTCTTTGTGTGCAAAAGAAATGTTCCTAATCTGCAGGTAAACCCAGTAAATGACCACGTACCTGAGTTTGTCACCAATAAGCTGCTTGTAGAGGAGGGCGGAGTTCTAGGAATAACCACCAATCAGTTATCAGCAACAGACATAGACACACCTGTCAATCAGCTGAAGTTTATCCTGGATGCTGTACCCATGTACGGGACATTGCAGAATGATGGACATACGTTGAAGAAAAGCTCATCATTCACTATAGAAGATTTGCAGAAGAAAAATATCAGGTGAGGAATGTCTGTCTGTTCATGTCAACTGTTGTTCACATGAGTTGCTGTTCATGTCAACTGTTGTTCACATGAGTTGTTGTTCTTGTAAGCTGTTGTTCACATGAGTTGTTCTTCATGTCAACTGTTGTTCACATGAGTTGTTGTTCTTGTAAGCTGTTGTTCACATGAGTTGTTGTTCTTGTAAGCTGTTGTTCACATGAGTTGTTGTTCTTGTAAGCTGTTGTTCACATGAGTTGTTGTTCTTGTAAGCTGTTGTCCACATGAGTTGTTGTTCATGTCAACTGTTGTTCACATGAGTTGTTGTTCTTGTAAGCTGTTGTTCACATGAGTTGTTGTTCATGTCAACTGTTGTTCACATGAGTTGTTGTTCATGTCAACTGTTGTTCACATGAGTTGTTGTTCTTGTAAGCTGTTGTTCACATGAGTTGTTGTTCATGTCAACTGTTGTTCACATGAGTTGTTGTTCTTGTAAGCTGTTGTTCACATGAGTTGTTGTTCATGTCAACTGTTGTTCACATGCGTTGTTGTTCATGTCAACTGTTATTCACATGAGTTGTTGTTCTTGTAAGCTGTTGTCCACATGAGTTGTTGTTCATGTCAACTGTTGTTCACATGAGTTGTTGTTCTTGTAAGCTGTTGTTCACATGAGTTGTTGTTCATGTCAACTGTTGTTCACATGCGTTGTTGTTCATGTCAACTGTTGTTCACATGAGTTGTTGTTCATGTCAACTGTTGTTCACATGAGTTGTTGTTCATGTCAACTGTTGTTCACATGCGTTGTTGTTCTTGTAAGCTGTTGTTCATGTGAGTATTTTTATGAGTTGTTCATGTGAGCTGTAGTTCATGTGAGCTGTTGTTCATGTGAACTGCTGTTCAGTTGAGCTGTTGTTCATTTGAGTAGTTTTTGTGTATGAGTTGTTCATGTGAGCTGTTGTTCATGTGAGCTGTTGTCCTTGTGAGGCTTTGTTCATATGACCTGTTGTTCACGTGAGCTGTTGTTCCTGTAAGCTGTTCTTTAAATGAGCTGTTGTTCAAGGGAGCTGTTGTTCATGTAAACTGTTGTTTATGTGAGCTGTTGTTTATGTGAGCTGTTGTTCATGTAAGCTGTAGGTCATGTGAGCTGTTGTTAATGTGGGCTGTAGTTCATGTTAGCTGTTGTTCATGTAGCTGATGTTCATGTGAGTTGCAATTCATGTGAACTGTTGTTCATGTGAGCTGTTGTTCATATGAGCTGTTGTTCATGTGAGCTATAGTTCATGTGAACTGTTGTTCATGTGAGCTGTTGTTTATGTGAGCTATAGTTCATGTGAGCTGATGCTAGTTTCAAATCATTCACTACAAAGTTGATCATGGTACATTTGTTGGGGTCCATTTACCGTTACATGTTATACTTTTGTTAGCTCCATGACCCACCAGTTACAACAACCAACTCTGCTCTGTGAGACCTAAAAATGTAAATTATGTAAAGGGGTTGCTTTCTAAGATAAAAATTAGTTGAAGAAACAGCTACTGAGACTTAACCCTGTCACCACAGGAAGCAGTGAACCCAGCATTTCCATCATTGCTACATTTCCATCATGTCTGGCATGTCTGTAATGACCTGAATCTGAGAAGCGTAGTTTAACTCAACCGATTCTATTGTTTCTGTTAATGCCTGTGCATTTAGGTGGCCTGGATATTATTACACCTCCCAAAAATAGAATGGGGAGGGGGTGCGGGGGGGGGGGGGGGAATTGAACCACATGGCTTGTAAAAAAAAGTTATGTTGATGTCAAATGTCAGTTATTGAAGTGAAACTGGCATAGAGAAATCTCTATCAGTCTTGTACCAACTTACAAGCTTCTCCATTGAGTAATAGAGTTCTCCTTGCCACAGCTGTTTCAGCAATCAGTTTGAAGTCAAGATAGTTTACTTCATTGCTTCAGGCCAAGGGCCATCTTAATAGCATTATGGACCCCTGGACACACTAGGCTGCTGGGGCCCCTATAACAAAGACTCACATAATGAAATGTAGAGTTTCACTTGACATACACATATAAGCATGTGACCCCTATGACAATGACTCACAGGAATGAAATGTAGAGTTTCACTTGAGATACACATGTAAGCATGTGGCCCCTATGACAATGACTCACAGGAATGAAATGTAGAGTTTCACTTGACATACACATGTAAGCATGTGGCCCCGATGACAATGACTCACAGGAATGAAATGTAGAGTTTCACTTGACATACACATATAAGCATGTGACCCCTATGACAATGACTCACAGGAATGAAATGTAGAGTTTCACTTGACATACACATATAAGCATGTGGCCCTTATGACAATGACTCACAAGAATGAAATGTAGAGTTTCACTTGACATACACATATAAGCATGTGGCCCCTATGACAATGACTCACAGGAATGAAATGTAGAGTTTCACTTGAGATACACATGTAAGCATGTGGCCCCTATGACAATGACTCACAGGAATGAAATGTAGAGTTTCACTTGACATACACATGTAAGCATGTGGCCCCGATGACAATGACTCACAGGAATGAAATGTAGAGTTTCACTTGACATACACATATAAGCATGTGGCCCCTATGACAATGACTCACAGGAATGAAATGTAGAGTTTCACTTGACATACACGTGTAAGCATGTGGCCCCTATGACAATGACTCACAGGAATGAAATGTAGAGTTTCACTTGACATACACGTGTAAGCATGTGGCCCCTATGACAATGACTCACAGGAATGAAATGTAGAGTTTCACTTGAGATACACGTGTAAGCATGTGGCCCCTATGACAATGACTCACAGGAATGAAATGTAGAGTTTCACTTGAGATACACGTGTAAGCATGTGGCCCCTATGACAATGACTCACAGGAATGAAATGTAGAGTTTCACTTGACATACACATATAAGCATGTGGCCCCTATGCTTGTGAGTCTCCAAAGTAAGGGCCCAGCAGTCCTATGCACTAAGCTGGCATTGTTCCAAGTGTTACCCTTTATGGTTTGGTCTCTTTCCACAGAGCACTTAGTTGCCTGTCAAGCGTGTAGGCACCGTCAGTCCTGAGGGACATAAAGTTGTAGCACTGGGTTTGGGCGTGGATTTTTATCATGGTATGGGGCATCACAGGTCGACCCAGCCTAAAATGGGTACCAGGATGGCTGTCCTGGGGAAATAAAGACGGCCGGCGTAATGCTGACCACATTACCCACCTAGTGCCGATGGTTTGTAAAAATATGGATGCTCTTCCCATATGCCCGATGCGCCTTTGGGCGTGAAAAGAGATCTTTACTTTTTTTTTAAAAACTGGGTTTGGGAACGGCATCTGCTATGACTGTAAAGTTCAACATGGGAATCGCCGTCTCTGCCACATAGACCACATACACATTTTTTAAATAATCTATTTTACTGAGGCTGGTTTTCTCTCAGAAGTCTCCTCTCTTGTCAAGTAATACTCAAGTTCAAAAGCCCAAATTTTCATTTTTAATGATTGCAAAATAGTCCCTGGCTCACTAGAAAGATATATTTAAAGCCACACATGTGCATATAAATAACTTGTTTAACTTACCTACAGGTACCTCAGTGATGGGTCTGATGTAACCCTGGACACGTTCACACTAGCAGTCACCGATGGCATGAACCAAGCTACAAAAGTTATCTCCATTCAGGTGTGTTATGTTGGCATCATAAACTGTTAGGAACATTTTTGACATTTAACTTTACCATCAAGTCCTCTTCTTCTTCAGCAGTTGAGGGAGATTTAAGGTTCTACTTCTAGATGCTTAAGAAAATAAAGGATAGGCTCATCAGACAAGATTGGATTGCAACACTAAGCACCTCACAAATGGCTGGCCTAATCTTATTATTTTTGCCAGGTCATGTGGTTGTTTGAGGCAACGAGTGTGCAGATAATCTTGCAGATACTGTGGCTATTATGGCTGGTCGAGTACTGGGCAGAAGTAATGTTATCAATGCCATGCACAGCATTTACCACAAATATGATCACGGCAAAGGGCGTGGCTCTGTATCCCTGCTAGGCTTATGGAGATTGGGGTGCAACCTGGAGCTGCACAAAATTTAAATTTCAGTCAAAGAACAAGGCATCATCAGTTATTTTACACTTGTGGAGCTTTTGAGGAGAAGATCGAAGCACCTATAGATCTGTCCAAAGTGATGTGAAGATGATTCTCACTAATCACTAATCACTTCTTGCTCTTCTGGACGCCTCAACTACAGTCACATTGTGCTGTTGTAGAGTTTCTCTTACATTATCTTTCCATCTTGTTCTTGGTTTTCCTTTTCTCTATGCCCTTCTCCTCTTTTGGAGTATGCCTTGTATGGTATGGCATCTCTAAGTGGACAAACATTTGATTTGTATTTGCTATCTTTATATTTAGAATTTAGAAGGATTTTTAACATACACATAGACTTCCTATTTTTCAGTCGTTATCTTAGTAGACAAAAAAATACGATGTGAGAGTCAGTAGGAGTGTAATAGCCATGTTTTTGGTCCATGTTATGCTGCTGGTCTAGGTTAGACAACTTGATAACTTGCACACGTTTATATTTCTTAGATTGTGTCTGTAGATAACTTGCACATGTGCGTCATTCTCAGACTGTCCTTTGGTAACTTGCAAATGTGTGTCTTTCTCAGTAACTTGCACATGTGCATCTTTCTCAGATTGTGTCTACAGGTAACTTGCACATGTGTATCTTTCTCAGATTGCGTCTACATGTAACTTGCACATGTATATCTTTCTCATATTGTATTCTGTGGGTGACTTGCACATGTATATCTTTCTCAGATTGTGTTCTTGCACACATGTATTATTCTCTGACTGTGTCTACAGGTAACTTGCACATGTGTATATTTCTCAGATTATGTTCTGTAGATAACTTGCACTTGTGTAGGCTGTCTTTCTCCGATTGTGTCTATAGGTAACTTGCACATGGGTATCTTTCTCATATTGTGTCTACAGGTATCTTGCACATGTGTATCTTTATCAGATTGTGTCTACAGGTAACTTGCACATTTGTATCTTTCTCAGATTGTTTTCTGTTGGTAACTTGCAAATGTGTATCTTTCACAGATTGTGCCAGTGGATGATCACACACCCACACTATCTAAAAACATAAACCCACAGCTGATTGTGTCTGAAGGTGAAGAGGCAGCTATCACCACCAGGACTGTAGCAGCAGCAGATGATGTCAAGGATGATGAGAAAGTAGTCTTTCTCATAGTCAGACAACCAAGGTATTACCTTTCTCATGGTCAGACAACCAAGGTATTACCTTTCTCATGGTCAGACAACCAAGGTATTACCTTTCTCATTGTCAGACAAACAAGGAATTACCTTTCTCATTGTCAGACAACTAAGGTATTACTTTTCTCATTGTCAGACAACCAAGGTACATTTCTCATGGTCAGACAACGAAGGTATTACCTTTCTCATGGTCAGACAACCAAGGTATTACCTATCACATTGTCAGACAACCAAGGAATTACCTTTCTCATTGTCAGACAACCAAGGAATTACCTTTCTCATGGTCAGACAACTAAGGTATTACCTTTCTCATGGTCAGACAACCAAGGTATTACCTTTCTCATGGTCAGACAACGAAGGTATTACCTTTCACATGGTCAGACAACCAAAGTATTACCTTTCACATGGTCAGACAACCAATGTATTACCTTTTACATAGTCAGACAACCAAGGTATTACCTTTCTCATGGTCAGACAACCAAGGTATTACCTCTCTCGTGATAAGACAACTAAGGTATTACCTTTCTCAGGGTCAGACAACTAAGGTATTACCTTTCTCGTGGTCAGACGACCAAGGTATTACCTTTCTCGTGGTCAGACAACCAAGGTATTACCTTTCTTGTGATCAGACAACCAAGGTATTACCTTTCTCATGGTCAGACAACCAAGGTATTACCTTTTTTGTGGTCAGACAACCAAGGTATTACCTTTCTCATGGTCAGACAACCAAGGTGTTACCTTTCTCGTGGTCAGACAACCAAGGTATTACCTTTCTCGTGGTCAGACAACCAAGGCATTACCTTTCTTGTGGTCAGACAACCAAGGTATTACCTTTCTTGTGGTCAGACAACCAAGGTGTTACCTTTCTCATTGTCAGACAACCAGTGTAATACAGTTGTGTTCTCAGGGTACAGATCTGACAACCTTAAATTCTTTTAATCCAAAGCAGCATTTGATTGGTTAAACCAGATGTAGGACTCAGTAAAACAATATCAAATTATGAATCTGTAACTGAAACTGAAATTTGCTAGTGTTAAGTAATGTTGGAAGAATTGATAGGGAACTTGAGGCAAGATGTCAAAAGGCGAACGCAGTAACTTACCAACTCTCCCCACTGCTAAAACACCTAAGCATCACTATGGCACTAAAACGACAACTGATAAATTGCATGTTTATACCAACCCTCTGCTACCAATGCCAAACCTGGTCCCTAACAAGAGCACAGGAGAAAAAGATCAAGACGTGCGAAATGAGATGTTTTCGTAAGGCTGCCAATGTCACAAGGAGAGACAGAGTTCGAAATGAGAACATTAGATCAATTGTGGGAACCACACCATGCCTGCAATACATAAAGAGGCAACAAATGGAGTGGTTTGGCCACTTGATGCGAATGCAAACCGACCAACTGCCTCTACGAGCATACAACGAACAGCACTACTGCCCTAGAGCAAGAGGCAGACCGAGAGTACGAGGGATAGACAATATATCAGAGATCCTGAGGCAACACGGACTAACAACAACACGTGCAACACACCTGGCCCAGGATAGAAAACTGCGACTCCCCACTACGCTGTGAGGCAATTGTGGACAAGACAAGACAAGACAAGTAATGTTATTACAATCTATATCACAACAAATTAGGCATTCACATATGTGCTCGGTCCTCATATACAGCAGCCACTCTTAGGATCTACTGATTGTTTTTATGACAAGTTGTTTGTAGTGTTTCCTGTCTTGGTCTAAAAATTGCATAGGCATGCTTCACCAAACTTTCTCCCAGGTCATGCAATCATATTATCATCAGAGATGCATCATTTTCCGCCAGCCTAGTCAATACAGCATCGATGATATCAGCTCTGTCCATGCCTCTTCTGATAGGCATGGATACATTATTTACAAGCTCATCAGCTCGTTCATTACCCTTTACTCCTGTATGCCCATGTGTGTAGATCCAGGTGACAGAGGTTAATTGCAACATCTGCATGCTTTCTAACAATTCAGAGTGTAAACCATCTGTTGCGATTTCCTGAATCATGTTCATGGATTCTGATGCAATTACTGAACATGTGGCCGTTGTTCTGCTGCCCATGTGAATGCTCTGGAAGCAGCCTTCATCTCCATGGTCATGCTTGATGTAGTTGCTTAATAATGCACACAGTAAGAAGAAGTCAATCAAATAAGTTTGTTATGACTCTAAAAGCTTGTTTTGTTTTCCAAAGCTTCGGTTTGCTTTAAAAAAATTCGTCACGTTCAACCAGCTTCCCCAAAGGGAAAGCTTTAGGATATTATTATGACTATGTTATTTACACCAATTAAAATGGCACTAAGTAGCGCTGAAGTCATCAACCGGCCAGCAGATGGCCGACCTGGTCGCCGACGATAATTAGTCTACCATTCTGAGCTTAAAATATAATGCTTTTTTTTTTTCACTTACCCACCAACACACTGGACTTTGGGCTACATTGAAACCATAGAGGAGCTCTAATTTAACTGTGTTATATGGCTGTACCAGTTTATGGAATTAGTCTCATTCCTGAGGTGTTAATCTAACAAACAATAGGGATGGTAGTGAAGTTTTATTTTTTGGGTTTTTACTTACGAAATTATAACAGCTAGATAAAGATTAAAATTACAAATCCAATGGTACCTCATTTAAGCCTGTAAGTCGATTCTAAGCGGAGATATTAACATTTTAGTGGCGGATACCACCACAGAAAAATTGTAGTGGAAATCGATAAAACATGGCTTCCGGCTGCGACCCAGTGAGATGAAATGACTCAATGTTTGATTTTACGGCCATAACTTTTTTATTTCTGAACGAATCCCTTAGCAACCAAATATTGCTGGAAGTGGGACAGTTAGACCTAACTGTCTATGCATGTTTTAAAAACAAATAATACATTATGCACCTACTCAACATATGAAAATGGCCGCCAGCTCACTATTTTCAAGCAAAACATTATACCTGTAAGTTTATCTGCCAGCGAGCCTGGCGACATGATAATATCAAATTGTGAGCCCCGACAAGGTGAACACAAAGATCATAAAAATATACCAAGGTCAGTCGACGAGACCTAATTAACATATGAAAATGGCCATCAATTGACTTTCTTTCAGCAAAAACCGTATACATTTATAGTTGTTTGCCAATGAGTTTTGTACTGGAACAATGCTGATTGATTTATAAAATATAGGTCTAGCCCTATATGCCCAATATACTAGAAAGCATGAAAAAAAGGGTTCTTTACTTACCCCTGGTGTATGCATGGTCATCTATTTTGTGTTTACATAATATTATAATGCCTTAATTAATGCAGTAACCTCATTATTATTTCTATCTTTTGTTTCCTTTTGTTATTTGCTGATAAAGACTTTTTGCCGCAACCTCCTTTGTTTATGGTAATTTTGTAAATGTTTTCCAACTGTTTTCTTCTGCTAGATATGGTGTTCTTCAACTGAAAGGCCAACCATCAACAAAATTCACTCAAAAAGACATCAAAGATGGTCATGTCAGCTTTCTTCACACCAGTGGAGAAATAGGCATGTCTACCTTGAAGGACTTTGCTACCTTCATCATCTCCGACCAACAGTATCTGGCATCTGCTGACCTGCCGGCCTATGACCTCAACATCACTATCACCCCGGTCAACAACCAGAAGCCAGTTATTATTTTGGGAAATCCAGTTTTTGTGGCTGAAGGAGAGTCATTCAGATTTACAGAGAATGTTCTGAAGGTCACAGACGCAGATTCTAAAACAAAAGAAGTCCAGTTTATGATCACTAAACAGCCTCAGTGGGGGTACATTGAGAACACCAAGCCTAGTCCAGGGTCAGAGAAACAAAACGCTGGTATTCGAATTAACTCATTCAGCTTTGGGGATATCCTGGATGGGTCTATAAATTACGTCCAGGCAAATCACAAAGGTGTGGAACCGGTTAAAGATGAGTTTGAGCTGCTGGCTACTGATGGGAAACTTAATTCAGATGTCAGAGCCATCAAAATTACAATTGTCCCCGCAAATGACGAAGCTCCAGATCTGATGTTAAATGATTTCATTGTAACTGAAGGAGGAAGCATGGTGGTTGGGTCATCATTATTAGATGCTATTGATATGGATGTGCCGAAGGATCAGTTGAAAATTGTGGTTTCTCAGCCTCCAGTGCATGGGAAGATCATCATGCTGATCAACACACGCCGTGGTCATGTAGAGTCTGACTTTGAAGCCATTACTGTGGATGAGATTCATGGTGGAGCTCAGCTTGTGTACAAACATGATGGCTCGGAGGTCTTCAATGATAAGTTTGCGGTGACTGTGTCGGACGGCAAGCATGAGATAAAGAAGGTCTGTAACATCTCAATAAATCTTCACAATGACGAACGGCCAGAAGTGTTGAAGAATACTGGGTTAGAGTTGGATTATGGGGATTCTGCTTTGATTTCAAGTGTTGCCCTCCAGGCTCAGGATAAGGACAATGAGGATCATGAAATTGTCTATATTGTAGTGGAAGTGCCAGAGAAGGGATATCTCCAGTACTGTCCTGATCCCCTGGCTGCTGCCGTGGACAATGAATGCCAGGATTTTGAGCTGGGAATGAACTTTACACAGGGGGATATTGACACAAACAAAATTCGGTATATTCACACTTCAAGCATGGGAGACACAGAAACGGACAGATTTGTCTTTGTGCTCACCGATGGAACTCACAAACGTCACGAGGAGACTTTTGATATTAAGATTCGGAACTCTAAAAAAGTCAATGTTGCTGTATTGAATAAGGGAATGGTCGTTAGAGAAGGGGAAAGAGTTGCCATCAGCACTTCAAACCTGAGTGCTTCTGATGAGAGCACTAGAGCAGAAGAGATCGTCTTTGCAGTTATTCGTCCACCAACTCTGGGTAATTCAAAATTCATGCATGTTTTCTTTCTTTTTTTGATTGCAGACTAGTAAAAGAATGTATATACAGTCATATTTGCATGATTAGTCAAATAGGTGTTTGGAAATTGTCTGGGAACTAAAGGTGGCCAGACTAATCTTCTTGCTTTCTTTTGTCCTCTACTGCCTTTGCCGTAAAGTGTCACACAGTAAAGTTATATGTAGTTTCCTGTCTTTTGCTAGCTGTGTAGCTTAAATTAATACCATATTGCATTTCTGTTGTGTCTCTTTTACTCCCTCTACCCATAACTTTCTTGATAGACCTCTTGTCTGGTAACCTGCTGTTCTCATTTAGTACCCTCTAGCTGCTGTCTGATTTTTTTTCCCATTCTGACTAGATGACCAAACTATCTGATCCTTTGAAATCATTTATCACCTCTGGGCCTACTATTGTTCTTAGTTCTTTGTTGGCGACTCCATCTCTTCTTGTTTTCCCACCAAATTTTTTATACATCTCATCTCACATGTTGTAATTTTCTGTTTATGTTTTTCGAGGACTGTCCATGTCTGGCACTTATAGTACAAAGTTGGTATGAATAGTGATTTGATCAGAAGTGCTGAAGACTGATAGTGAGCATAAAGTTTACCAAGTGCTTCTTCTTCTTCTTCTTCTTCACTTCCTCTTTTACCGCTGTGGGTGTCGAGGGAGATATAAGGTTCTGTTTCTAGCTCTTCTGGCTGCCTCGACCATAGGCACATCGTGCTGTTGTAGAGTTTCTCTGATGTTATCCTCCCATCTTGTTTTTGGTCTACCCCGTGCTCTACGTCCTTCTTCTCTTCCCATGTATGCTTTGTATGGTATGGTGTCACAAGGCATTCTCTCTAAGTGGGCAAACCATTTTACTTGCTGTCTTTGTATGTAATCCAGAATTGGTTCTGTGCCGACTTGTTCTCTTATGATCTTATGTTTACCAAGTGCAAATTTATTAAAATGTATGGGGATGGCACCATATACTCAGTACACCATATGGCATAAAACATGGTCATTCACTCTACTTCATTTAATGTTTGAATCTGAATTTCTTCCCCCTTAATCAGTTTTAGAAGCTACTGTTTCGCTTCTTATCTTTATATTCCGATTCATATTATTATCATCATAAAGTACTATGGCAATAAGCTTGGGCACTTATGTTTGACCATCTCATGCGATCACCAGACTCACAAATCAGGTCAGTGTTCTTGTCTTGCCCAACCTATATGGCTCAGTCACCCAAGTATTTATCTTTTTACCTTCTCCTTGCTCTCTTTCAATCCATTGTGCCAGTTGTCACCACGTTCTGGAGTTCATTCTTTCTCATACCATGTCCCAGACACATAACTTTGTACGTCTAATTTCTTGTTTGCTTTTTTCTATCATTCCATGATATTGTTTGCATTCTTATCATAAATCACATCTCTATTATTAGTAGATATATTTCAGCTTCATCTGAGATGTAGTTCTTGAGAAGAATGTTGTGAATACCTTGGACTGCCAGAGTCACTAACAGTGATGGTTTGGAAATGGCTAATGAAAGTAGAACATTATATATACAAGAGTGAGATGGAGAGAAAGTATTTTGGTCATATGGTGAGAACAGGAGCACTTGAAAATATCATAACGACTGGAAATATCACTGGTTGAAGAGGGAGATGCAGACCAAAAGAAATGATGGTTAATGGTTTTAGATAGTGGCATGGAGGAATATCATCAATGAAACTGATCCAGAACACCAAAGACCGAGATCTGTGGAGACACATGAACATCTTCACCAGCAGGCATGGCACTTGATGATGATGATATTTCAGCTTGTCTGCTTATTGTCTCACATGCATATAATGACAAAGGTTCTATGCAGCACTTTAACACTCTTTTTTCCCCTCACTGCAGTTAATATCATATTATTGGTGAGTATCTTATGCAGCTTCTGATGGCCACTTTTGCCATGGCAATTGTTGTTCTAATTTCTGCAAGGCATTTTGCCTCAGATGTTATGACTGTTCCCAGATAGTTGGCTGTAAACTCTGGCAGATAGTCCTGGCTGTTTGTCCACCTCTGGACTTTGGTCTTGTTCCAGAATCTTAGTCTTGCATGCAGATCTGTTTAACAAATCTGACTTAATTGTGTGCAGATTTTTAGTACCTTTTTAGGCGGATGCACTCTGACTTTGAAGGAAGCCCCCAATTAGTCGACTCTTACGACATGCTCATTGTGGAGGCAGTGGGTCTATTCTTGTTTGTTTGCCCACAATACGGCATCAGGACCCACATGGGGAGATAGTTGTATCCATTCACTTGCTTAAGAATTTTGCCATTTGTCTCTGCTCATATGCTTGCAGTAATATAACATTATATAAGGTCAAGAATTTTCTTCATCGCTGAATGTCTAAAGACAAAATTATTTGGCACATAAATAAACAATCATTCTTTTTACGTCATGAATGAAGGTCAGATAGAAAACATAAAGAGGAGGTTCACGCCCATCAGCAGCTTCACACAGATGGACATCGCCTCCCAGAGAGTTGTCTACCACCACCTGGCCAAGAACGATATTACAGAGGATTCATTCACCTTCACGGTCACGAATGGCTTGAGCCAGGCCAAGAATGGGGAGTTTCAGATCACTATCCAACCTATGGACAAAGTCCTGCCAACTCTCGTCTCTAATACCCTGCTGGAAGTCTTGCAGGTAGCTTTTTGTAAACCATTTTTTTTTCAAATTTAAAGGTTATAACAGATTACAGTTAAGGCTGAATGTTAGGCTGCATATACCAAACTGACATCCTACATTCTGCCAATGGCTATGGGTGGAGGAATGCTTTGGGTACAATACTAACCTTATCCTAGAAGGAGGAAAGGCAACCTGAAACCTTTGCCTCGACTAGCAGCTGGTCAAGGAGGAAAGCTATTTCAGGTGGACAGAAAGAACTGCTCTTTTGATTTGGCAGCTTCTGCAGTGAGTTTTGTTCCAAAATTATTGGTGTTACCTTTCCTTTGGAGTAAACAAGGCAGGCCAAGCAAGGGATAATGATGCTTGGGCAAAACATGGTCTCTTCAATACTGGCCAGGCTTTTTGTTGTGAAGACGAGGAACTTTATTCACATGCCTCCCCATAGCACAGAATTACACTGTCATCTGGAAAGACAGAAAGATGTCAACAAACAGCACAACAACAACAAAAGATTACATGTTTAGAATACTGTCACTGGACATAGGAACAAGACTTTAAAAAAATATAAATAGAAAAAAACTGAGTAGGTATGTGCTGAGTAGATGTGTGTTGAGTAGATGTGTGTTGAGTAGATGTGTGTTGAGTAGATGTGTGTTGAGTAGATGTGTGTTGAGTAGATGTGTGTTGAGTAGATGTGTGTTGAGTAGATGTGTGTTGAGTAGATGTGTGTTGAGTAGATGTGTGTTGAGTAGATGTGTGTTGAGCAGATGTGTGTTGAGTAGATGTGTGTTGAGTAGATGTGTGTTGAGTGGATGTGTGTTGAGTGGATGTGGGTTGAGTAGATGTGTGTTGAGTAGATGTGTGTTGAGTAGATGTGTGTTGAGTAGATGTGTGTTGAGTAGATGTGTGATGAGTAGATGTGTGTTGAGTAGATGTGTGTTGAGTAGATGTGTGCTGAGTAGGTGTGTGCTGAGTAGATGTGGGCTGAGTAGATGTGGGTTGAGTAGATGTGTGTTGAGTAGATGTGTGCTGAGTAGATGTGTGCTGAGTAGATGTGTGTTGAGTAGATGTGTGTTGAGTAGATGTGTGTTGAGTAGATGTGTGTTGAGTAGATGTGTGTTGAGTAGATGTGTGTTGAGCAGATGTGTGTTGAGTAGATGTGTGTTGAGTAGATGTGTGTTGAGTAGATGTGTGTTGAGCAGATGTGTGTTGAGCAGATGTGTGTTGAGCAGATGTGTGTTGAGCAGATGTGTGTTGAGCAGATGTGTGTTGAGCAGATGTGTGTTGAGTAGATGTGTGTTGAGTAGATGTGTGTTGAGTAGATGTGTGTTGAGTAGATGTGTGTTGAGCAGATGTGTGTTGAGCAGATGTGTGTTGAGCAGATGTGTGTTGAGTAGGTGTGTGTTGAGTAGCTGTGTGTTGAGACGATTCTACCTGCCAGCTGAGTCAGTCCTTTTGTACTTGAATTAGCTGTGCTTCCCATGTGGGTTCTGGGACCCTATTGTAGGGAAAAACAAGAATAGACCGACTGCCTGCCGAAAACATGTGGTAAGAGTTGATTAACTGGGAGTTTACTTCAAAGCTAGAGTGCATCAGCTTGAGAGGCAAGGAACCAACAGTCTGCATACAAATGAGCTAGACAGGTAAAACGGATATGCATGCAACACTCAGATTTTGGAACAGAAGTGCATTCCAGAAGTGGATGAACAACCAAAACTTTCCGTCGGAGTTTACAGCTGGTGAACTCAAAAAAGAGAATAAACTATGCTATGTTATTGTTTCTGAAACATTCCTCCCAGATTGCAGCATAAAACTGATGACTCCAAGAGCTATTATTTGTGTGTGAATTAAGCGGGACTGAATGCCTGATACACTGCTCAACCACATGAAAGTTATTCTGTTTTACTTTACGGAAGCCCCTGTGGTGTAGTGGCTAGACGCTTGCCTGAAGAAGCAAAATTTGTTCAGATTTGCATAAAGTTAGATTTTTTTTTTTAAATGTGACTTTGGCTTCCAGGTTGCTCCAGCCTTAAATGGGTAGCAACTGAAACGGTGTGAAGTAAATTTAGCTGCCAAGATGTTGACCACATCATCCATCAAGGGCCTGTTGGTCTAACAAAATATCTGAGTGTAACCTCAGATGGCCGATGCACCACTGGTGTGTAAAGGACTTGCATGTTTTAGCCTAGGGTTATGAAATAAACTGTTGCCCTAAGTGGGTGGGTATAAAGGACTTGCACCTTTTAGCCTAGGGTTTTGAATTAAACTGCTGCCCTGTGTGGGTTGGTGTAAAGGACTTTTACCCTCACCTTCTAGCCGGGGCTTAAAAAATAAGTAAACTTCTGCCTTATGAGGTTGGGTGTAAAGAACTTTTATGTTTACCTTTAGGGTTATGAAGTAAACTTCTGCCTTATGTGGTTTGGTGTAAAAGACTTTTACTTGTATCTTTTAGCCAGGGATTGTCCAATGTGGGTGGGTGTAAATTCCATAACAATTTATGTTTAGATATAATCTTTCGGCTCTCAGAAAACTGAGCATGTGCTACAGACATATTTGCTACATGCAGTTCTCAAATATTTTTCAGGGCAGTGAGGAGTCGTTAACTCCAGTTCATCTGAAAGCAACGGACCCCGACACTGCGGCCCAGAACATCACCTTCAACATCGCCAAACCTCCCACGTATGGACGACTCTACAACAGAGGTGTACAGATAGGCACATCATTTACCCAGAATGATATCGATGTTGGCTATATTTCATATGAGAGTGATGGTACCAGGGCAGGTAGGTTGCGTTTACATAAATGTTAACTGCTTTAGTCACTGGAAGGATATGAGAATTAACACTGGAAATAACAGAAGTAATGTCAATAGAAATAAAGAAGCAGAAAATAAATATAGCAGTAGAGTACGGGGAGCATTAAACAGGCATCTGTGTTTAAATATCTGGGAACAACATTCACCAAAGATGTGAAACTAAAGAAATAAACATCAGATGCAGTAAAGCAAACCAAGTATTGGGATAGCTAACAGCTTCCTCACGCCACCCCCCTCCACCTCTCATCTTCTTTCCCCCTTACAAAGGAATTTCAGTAAATGTGACTAAAAAAGCTGAATGAAACGGGAAGCAGAAAAAAAATGCACAAAACAATAGAAAATGTTTTGGCTTGTGGCCTTTCTCGAACAAGTAATGAACTACACAACGGAAACAAAGAGGAGAGTAATCAGATCTCTAAGGGGTGACGTGAGAAACTTTTTAAAAACTGTGATGTGGAGTGAATGAAATAAAATAAAATAATGAAGGCTCTTGTTAATATATATTATAATAGTGGGAATAAAAGATTAATAGAAATGCTTAAGTTATTGATACATAAATGGTACTGATAAGAGATAGAATAAAGTAACAATATGAAATAAAATAAAATAAAGTAATTGAAATTGAAAATGTGATAATAGTAGAACTGTTTAGATAAAGGTATGTTGAATATTGATGCCACCTAGACTAAAAACACCTATGCTGTGGATGAGGCAATTTTCCAAAGGCATGGATATAATCACCGGAGCAAGATTTTAATGCTGTGACAGATATATCATCTTTACCTCTGTGGTCAGAACTATTAAAATGGAGAGGGATTGGTCTTCTTGTCAATATCGGAGAGGTGTTCCCGGAAACGATCAGCTAACTTCCTGCCAGTTTCCCCAATCTATGCCTTGTTGCTTCTTTTGCAGATTATTGCATATATTACGTTGTGGGATTCGCAAGTAAAAGGTTCCCTAATTTGGAAAGAACCATTAGGAAAATTGACAGATGAGGTCTGGACAGCAAAAAGATATGTTTTTCTGGGCAATGAAAGGATATGTCTTACACGTAGTGCAGGAGCATTCAGCAGTCCCAAAAGAAAGTGCTGTGTGGGTCGGTGGAAGTGGGCTTCTGACAAGTATGTCTGTAAGGTTGCGGTTTTGTCTATAAACTAATCTTGGCTTCTCACTAAAGATCATCTTGATGTCTGGATCAGAGCTGAGGATGTCCAAATGACAAAAAAATACTTTGGAAGCAACCACATTTTTAGGATGAAAATTCAAAATTGCTGGTGGAATTATGTTTGGTGGGAAGTTATAATAATACAATTATGAATCAGAATAAAATAATAACTGAAACAAAGTGGATTACGATACCAGAAGGACTAGACAGAAGAAGTTAATAAATGCATTCTATATATAGATTAAAAATTAAACATATAAAGAGTTAACTCGAAACGAATGACATTTTTCACGATGCTTATGCAAATATTTTGCGGCCCCCCCCCTCCTACACTTCCTCCTCTTTATCACCTTTCTTTTCCTTCTCTGGCTGATTTTTCTTATTATTTGTCCTTTTTTTTTCTTTTCCTTGTCTTCTTCTTTTTCTGCTATTAAATAACTGTCATGTGTTACCATGCCGTTCCCAAGCCCTGAAAAGAAAGTAGGAGGTTTGGGCATAGGACCCCTTCCCCACCATGTAAAAGATTATTTACTACAGAAGTGAACAGAGAATCACCAAGCAGGCACTGAAATGGGAATTAAAGGGACTGATGAAGCAAGGACGTCCAAGAGAAACCCTAAGGTGAACATTGATGAGAGAAGCCAAAGGGACTGGACTGGATTCCGTCCATCATATCAAAGCCACATCACAGGGTAGAATAGAAGGGAGGAATAGACTGTAACCCTATGTGACGTATAATGACACAGCAGGACAATGACAGATTGTGTATTACCAGGGCTGATGAGGAAAGCAAAGAATTGTAACAATGTAACATGTTATGCGTACTATAAGAGAAAACCAATGGGAAACCTCCTTAAAACAAATTAATGTAAACAGGAATGATTCAAGAATTGACATCACTGCATTCAGGATATTTCCACACATGGTCTGGTCTATCTCCTTCCTCAGTAGACAACAAAGAGTGAGTCCCCATGCAAATAATGCCAGCTCATTACTGCATTAGTGCAGTCGAGAGGAGACATGCTTTCAAATACAGCTGCAATTCGCTGCAACCCACGGCCGGTGTTCGGCCGGTTCCCAGGGTTCACCCAGCCTCTAGGTAATGGGTACCAGAGTTAACACTCTGAGGTAAAAATAAAACATCCCTGCTAAGACCAAAAGTTTATTCATATTGACCAAGTGTTCTTCTTAAGTGAATTCATGTTAGCAGAGTTTTACTGTAATGAGCATTAAGAAATTGGCCGCCTGAATTTTTTTTTCTTTTAACAGAGATATGGAAGGGAAGCTTAAAGAGAAAACATACTTACAAATTGTTTAAAGCTGCATCTAGAAAATATTTAAAAAAAAAACAACAATTAAACTCAAAACTGCTTGCAAAGAAAAATTACCAGGATTGCAACTTTGAGTGGTTTATTTCACTATAACAAAATGATGGTATCCTAGACCATTTTCAATATCCATAAAGATGTGTTGCTGGTACCTTTCCATCTTTCCAGACAATAGGGCTATACTGTGCTATGAGGAGGAATTTGACTCAGCATGTGGAGATGGCATCAGCGTCTGTGACTTAGGCGTTGTAAACGGGCTTCATAATACTGGGGTGCAGTAACAACAACAAATTCAAGTGATTGGTTAAAATTCTGCTTTGCACTATAAATGTGTGTGAGTTATGAACTGACTTCTCACCCTTCAATGTGTTCTCATAATTGATCCATTCTCATTTTCAGCAGTCACTTGCAATCTCCAATGCTAATGGTTCCAGTTGTAGTCTGATGTGTGTGTGTGTCTTGCCTTCCATCTGAGCATTGAGCATATGATATAGAATCTAATTTTGTTTGTTCTCCAGGCCTTGACAACTTGCTGTTCACAATATCAGATGGCCGTCATGAGGGTTTTCTCATCAACGGCAGTCTGCAGACTCAACCAACAATGATGAGGTAGGAGTAGGCTGTAGCTAGTTAGTTAGTAGACAGATTATCATCATTGCACATTAAACCATTCAGACCTATGCATGCTCAGATCCCATCCTCGGCAGGTGGGAAATTTGTTCGATGGTCCCTGGAATCATCGCCGAAGCTATGGAACTGCTTGTGTAACATCTTTTTATGTGTGTGTGTGTGTGTGTGTGTGTGTTTGTGTCTGTGTCTCTGTGTGCATGTGTGCATCTGTATGTATGGATGTATGTATTTGTGTAAATGTATGTGTGGCATGTGTGTGTTTGTATGTATAATGTATGTATGTATGTGGGTGTGAGTGTATGTGGGTGTGTACAGCTGGTGAGTGGGCTTGTGCATGTGGGTGTGTGCGGGCACGCGAGTGTGTGCATGCATTTTACTGCCCATGCTTTTTGTGTTTTTTCTTGATATTCATAATGTACATATTATTATATAAACATAACATGCTTTATTGATAAACTACAACTGCTGTGTGAAAGATGGGTACTTGAAAGGGCTGAATGTAAGACGGGCCTGCGAGCCCAATTTTTGACCCTTTGAAAATAAAGTTTGTTTGTTTGTATATTCGTTTGTTCCTCAGCAAATCCTGCAGCATGTAGCTGCTATAACCCCAGTTCTGTGTTGGTGTCTTATTCTTCTTTGGCTTCCTGCACAGTGCTCTTGTCTGGCCATACCCCGTTTAATATGGTGTTCTTGCAGTCTGGTCATGGTTGCCTATTCACTTAACATGTGGTTCTCACTAACGTCTTAATTCTCATAGAGCATTCAGTACATCAGCCTGGTCTATGGCTCATCCGCCCCCCCCCCCCCATAGTAGCTTTACCTGCAAGCCAATCAGGAAATAGGTATGTTGTTAGTAAAAATTAAAGGACATCTTTTCATGGTTAGTGTCAATTTCGAAAAACAACAACGGGGATTGAAACCGAAGGCTTTTGGGCTGTCATCTGAATGTCTGGCGGCTTTACTACTCCAGCTCCCTTTGTTGTCAGGGATCGCAGCTCAACAGAAAGCAGAGGATATATGGTGCTGTAAAGTAAATTAACTTAAGGAGCTTTTTGCACACCTTCAGGCTTACTTGGCATATAGGGCTATATCTATATTTTATAGACCAGTAGGAATTCAGTGGGTAAGATGGTCAGTGTCACACCAACCACTTTTACTTCCAATGACTTTAAAGCTAAGTCGGCCTTGGTCATTTATGGAATTTTTTTTTTAAATGGCTCCATCAGGATCCAAACCCATGAACTTAGGATTCACAGGTGAGCTTCTAACTGCTACACAATGGGGGGCTCCCAAATTAAGTTGTCAGACATGGAATTTAAACCCACACCCACAATCATGAATAAAAACACTCATTCCTCTTAGAGGAAAAAGTTATGATATGTGAGTCAGTCACCTTGGACTCTTCGGCCATCCTGACATATGGTGCTAGATACGTTAAACATTCTTTTGAGTGCCGGTGTTCAAGGGAACGTGCATACAGACTATCTTGCTGACACTGCGGTTGCTATGGCTGGCCCAGTACTGGACAGAAGTGATGTTATCAATGCCATGTGGTGTACTTATCGTACTGAGGAGCAAGCCAAAGGACATGACTCCGTATCCCTGTCTAGACTGATGGACATGGGGGTGCAACATGGAGCTGCAAGAAATGAACATTTCACTAAGGGGATGAGACATTTCCTTAACCAACACACAACAGACATCATCAGTCATTTTACACTTTTGGAGTTTTTAAAAAAGAGATCGGAGAACCTATGGATCTGTCTGGAGTGCTGTGATGATAATCCTTTCTAATCACTAATCACTAACATTCTTTTGAATATTATTTGTATTTGTAAATAACAGGAATTTCAGCATGTGAATAAATGAATGAATGAATTGACATTGCTGCGCTCAGGACAATCCCACATGTGCTCCACCCCTATCTTCAGTAACCAACAGAGAGTTGACAGGCTAATAGTACCATTTGCAACCTGATTAAAAGTCCTCTTGTGTTTCCCCCTCAATGTTAAATATCTTCTAGAACCTCTACACACTTCTTGTTGAATTAGTCTTTCAGTGTATGGATTCCGTATCTGTTCTTTTGCACTGTCCATTTGACTCCATATATCGGATATGTTGGCCGAAAAGTGCAAATATCGCAGCCATGCTGTAAACAGACACAACGCAATTACATCTTCGGATGAACCCAGAAGAAAAAGATATAGTAGCTCACCGCCCAGATACCCCAAACACCGAAAATTGTGGTTAGAAAATCCACAATATGCTCTTGATCTGGATGTTATCAAGTGATGTAAGCCACTCTGCCTGCAGGACACCAGTTAAAATTTTGCAAAGCACGCTCTGTGAGTCTGTGACAATCATAACATGTTGGTCTGTGCTGTTCTCAAGCCATCAGAAAGCTGCCAATACTGCCTCCACCTCCATTCTCCTGCTGGATGTAATGACGTTTTACGTGAGGCTCTCTGTTTTGAAGCAGCTCCCATTCACACTTCAGTATATTGTTAGTAGTAAGGTTGCATTAGTAAATAAGTAATAGTAAGATTGTGTGAATAAACAAGATCACAGTTTCTAGGGAATTGCTGAACATCTATGAACACTTGCCTACTTTCAACAGCATATTTGTCCAGCCTCTGATTGAAGATGCCCCAAGGTTGGTGATCAACAAGAGCCCTGATTCCTTGCAGCACCTGGGCAGGAACAGATACGGCTACAAGTTGTCCAACAAGATGCTCAGAGCTGTTGATTCTGATTCAGACAGGCAAGTCATCATGGATGTCATCTGTTATGAGCCTAGATTCATATTTCTCATATATCAGGTTTAATTAAGATGCAGGCGTCATAGTAACAGATTATGTCATAACAGATAACAAACTGGGTTGTCTCTTAAAATAGAAGTTTAGGTTTAGTGATACAGATATTGCAGCCTAGCTGTAAACCACAACACAATGTGCCAACCACCCTTTAATGAGCAAATACAGAAGAAGTTCCAAGTCATGTGCTGTTAATCTTCCTGGTGAATTCCAACTGTTCTTTAATGCGTTCTCTTACTTGTGACATATGGTCAGTTCATACTAAAAGTTCAGTAAGGAATTCCCAGTGCCTCACACTGACGTAATGTTTTGTATACTGCAGCTTACAGTATACTTCATTATCAATTTTTAGGGAACCAATTATTGTGCCAGGTCAATCTATTAAAAACTCATATCAAGTATACTTTGTAACATTAATCTTTGTCTCTGTCTGTCTGTTTGTCTCTAAGGTTTTCTAACTCTGAAGTTCTGTCTGCTTGATGTCTGCATGTTTACCTGTCTCAGGGGGACCGATAGTATTTTTTTTATAAACGGTAAATTCTCATTCAGACACTCTGTAAATTGATTCTTGTCTCTATCTGGTCTGTGAATTTAGTGATTTCTTGTTTCATCACAAAAGATTTCACATCTACTATAGACCACATTGCTATTACTTCATGGAGGCCATTACAGATTCACTATAAACATTTAATACAATGCTCAACACTGAAAAGAAATATGAGACAGATATACAGTCAGACTTTACTTGCGATGTCAGTATCAAAACTCTGCACTTGCTGCTGAAAATGGAGATGGAGCGCTTATGGGAATGTGCGGAAGCTGTTATGTTGATTCCTAATTCAACTCCCAACATTCTTTTCATATCTGGGTCTATGACTGAGTAGTTTCGGATGCAATTTTATAATTTTGATTTTCCTGAGTTCAATTCAGCTGCTGGTAGTTTCATAGCAGATTGCTTCATGTTGATTTTGACAGTGGTATGAGTACTAACCATTCAAGCAGTTATGGCAAACTACTGAACATAACATTGCCTGGTATATCCATAAACTGCCAACACATAATGGGTTCAATTAGTGAAATCAGGTAAAGGATATGCAACTCTCCATGTGGGTTCTGAGGCCCCACTGTGGGGGTAAAACAAGAATAGACCTATCAACCCCTTCTTCTTTCTTCTTCTGCGTTCGACATCAGTCATGCTATATGACCATATCCCTAGTGCGTAGATGTCCGATCTATCAACCCCTAACAAGCATGTCCTAAGAGTTGACTAGTTAGGGATTATTTTTTAAAAGTTGCAATACATCTAGAGGCAAGAAACCAACAGTCTGCATACTAATAAGCCAGATCTGTAAAACAGATTTGCATGAAAACTCAGATTCTAGAACAAGGCTAAAGTCCAGAAGTGGATCAACTGTTGGTGAATGTGAAGAAGAAAGATGATGATATACAACTAACTTTGTTTTAAAATATGCATCTCACTCTGTCAGTGCAAGCATCTGGTATATGTTAACCTCACGACCCAAGCACGGCCACCTGGAGAACACACAAGCCAAACGTTACATCACCAGGAGGTTCTCCCAGAAAGATATTGATGAGGGAAGCATGTTGTATGTGGTAGACAGCCGGGCTGCTCATTTCTCTGACTCCTTTAGTTTCAAAATAGAAGACACCAGAGGCAATGCACTCAATGACCAGAAGTGAGTGCCTCTCTTCCTTCCTCTCTGTCAGCCAATATCATTTGGTTGTCAACCCTGCCCCTTTCCTGTCTTTTTTCTTTTCTAATGCAAGCCTATTTTCTTCTCTTATCTGTCGTTTTTATATATTTTTTTTTAATTTTGTGTGTGTGTGGCCATCCTCTCCATATCTTTCATCTTTTTTTTTAAATTTATTTATAATCTTTCATAGCTTTCTCTTGTTACTTATTTTCCTGTTCTAATTCATCATTTGACCTTTCTCTTCAATTCATCTCTGCACATAAATATATCTCACCCCCTCCCCATTCCCCCTTCCTCCCACACACTTACTCTCTGTCTCTTATTCTAAGTGTCTCTGCTTTTTTTTTCTTCCCACCTTTTCTTTATAAGTAGTGGCCCTTCTTTTTTTTCCCCCCAACTCATATAATACTGTTTTTCTATTCATTCCTGATACAAAATTATGGATTACAATTTGATTGTTAAAATCGATTTGACAGAGAGGAAATGGTGACTTTTCAGACTGTTTGAATTCTGGGAGTTACAGTGTCAATATCAGACAACCTTGACAACTTAACATAACAACAGTGTTATGGTAGACACATTTTTTGTTTGTTTTAAGATGAGTCATCACTTGGTGGGTGATGTGATCAACATCTGATGGCCATCTTTACTAGAATAGACCCACTGCTTGCCCAAAAGCATGTCATTAGAGGCGACTAATTGGGAGCTTCCTTTAAAGTCGGAGTGTATTTGCACGAGAGGCAAGGAACCAGGTATCTGCATACAAATGAGTCAGATCTGTTAAACAGATGCACACACAACACTCAGGTTCTGGAACAGGATTTCAGTCCAGAAGTGGATGAACAATCAGAACTTTCCGCTTGAGTTAACAGCTGGTGAACGCAAAGAAGAAAATTACAGGAAAGCGCCTCTTTGTGGGCTTCGTAAATTAGGATTGCCAAGGACTCTGTAATTCTTTCTGTCCATCACTTGCATGGTCGGCCAATTCTTCGCTTCCTGCCTGGTCTGTGCATCATTGCTTGCTGTGGTATACTGTCTGCTGACATCCACATTAAATGACCAAACCATTTCACCTGTTGTGTTCTAATGAAATCCAGAGCTGCTGCTACCCCCATTTTCTTTTGGATTTCATTGTTTCTGATTTTTATCTCTTCTTGTTTTATTGAGAGCCCTTTGCAGGAATCTCATTTCAGTTGTCATTTTATTTTCTCTTTTTCAGTCATTGTCCAGGTCTGACATTGATAGCACAGGGTTGGCAAGAAGATTATGTTATAAAGTGCTCTTTTTGGTTTCTACTGATACATGTTTGCTTCTTAGTATTGGCGCCATTTGCCCAGTAGTTGGTTCACTCTCTTACATCTGTCTTCAGTCTTATCTTCTGTTTTACCAAACACTATAGTTCAGAAAAAGTTAAATTAATGATTCAGATACAAGAGGTTAATATTATAAAGCATATGTCTGTGATAGAAAGCAGTTGTATATTATATATCTCTGGAATTGTCAGGTCCCTATGTGAGTTTCATGGCCCATTTTAGGTTCAAAATTAATGAACAAAGATGAAAAAAAGAAAGACTCACTGCACCCCCCCCCCCCCCCCCTCTCTCCCAAACAAATATGTCATAAACAGTGACTTTTAAGGGTTTGCTGAAATTGGATGTGTTGAGCCAAAAGTAGCAGATATCACAGCCTAACTGTATACCACAACACAGTATGCCTACTAGCCTTTCAGGGATAAATGCAGAAGAAGAAAAAGAATGTTTAAGAAAAGGATGGTGAGTTGTTCAGAATGGAAAGAGTTCATACTTCTTCTTCTCAAAGTTCAAGCTGTGTGGCATTGGTAGTCATTTCTATCCACAACCTTGTGTCTGGTGTACTTTCAGTCAACTCAGACACAGATGATTCTCCATGCCATGATGTCAAACTGTCCAGCATCTGTTCTCTCGGTCTCCCTCAGCCTCTCCTCCCCTTTAACTTTCCCACCATCACGATTTACTCCAGTTTTCTCCTCATCATATGACCAAAGAATGTAGACTGTCTCCTCCTGATGTGGACAAACAGTTATCTTCATGATTTAGTTTCCTTCAAGACATCTTCATTACTCTTTTTATCTGTATAGTGTATTCTCATCTTTCATCTATAAAGTCACATCTCCGTAGCTTCCATATATTTTTTCACTAATCTACCAACTGTTCAAAATCCTAACATTATCATTTCATTATTTGCCTAGTTTCCAAGTGAGTTGGTCGCGGGTGCAGTTTGACAGGGAAGAAACGGTGGCTTGTGAAAACATTGGAACTTTAGCAGTGACAGTGTCCAGATCAGGGAACCTGGACCACTCCAGCTTTGCCAAAGTCCATGTGAAAGAAATGTCAGCCAAGAAAGGAGTGGACTTTATGCCAAGTACATCTAAACAGGTTCAGTTTGACCCAGGTCAGTTGATGCAAACCAAAACATAAATAAATAACTACTCTTTTAACTTTTTTTTTTTTTTTTTTTTTACATCAGGGGCACTTTGGCTATATGGTGATAGACCAGTAGATTTTGTATATCCGGCACTCACTGGGTGATGTGGTTAACATCAAACTGGTTTACTTGAATTTCCTGCTGTCAGCTTTAGGCTAGGTCTATCTGTGTCAAGATTAGTTTTGGTGACAAATCCACATCCAAGTGGATTAATACTTTTGACCTTCTTTTGTTTTGGTTTTTTTTTTTGTATTAGGAGGAAGTTATATAAGAAAGAATATATATAGTTGACAATCGAACGATTAGTGAAGAATTATTTGGAAGCGGTGGAATGTGGTATTAAAGATGATTGATGAGAATACCCTGGCAGATTAAAAATTGTAATGAAGATATCTTCAAAGAAAGAGGCTCACGAAGAGAACTGATTGCTCACATCAGAAGGAAACTGATTGCTCAACATCAGAAGAAGACAATCTACAATCTTTGACCATGTAATGAGATGGAGAAAACTGATGTACCTCATGATGGTGGGAAAGATGGAGGGTGAAGAGGTGGAAGAAAACTACAAACCCCACAGAGGGTGGAAAATCATCTGTGAAAGAACTGATTGAAAGTACATGAGACAGAAGGTTGTGGGTAGACATTACAACCAGCACCACATGGTATATGCACTATATATATAAGACTATATATAAGACTATATATATAAGACTATATATAAGACTATATATAAGACTATATAAAAGACTATATATAAGACTATATATAAGACTATATATAAGACTATATATATATAAGACTATATATAAGACTATATATATAAGACTATATATAAGACTATATATAAGACTATATATAAAACTATATATAAGACTATATATAAGACTATATATAAGACTATATATAAGACTATATAAGACTATATAAGACTATATATAAGACTATATATAAGACTATATATAAGACTATATATAAGACTTTATAAAAGACTATATATAAGACTATATATAAGACTATATATAAGACTATATATATAAGACTATATATAAGACTATATATAAGACTATATATATAAGACTATATATATAAGACTATATATATAAGACTATATATAAGACTATATATAAGACTATATATAAGACTATATATAAGACTATATATAAGAAGGAGACTGTAAGGACCATTTTCGAGCCATTGGTATTTTGGGATATCTTAGAGTGTTTTTTTGTGTGGATGTTCTTGTTTCCACAATTCATGTATTGCCCATTTTAGTGCTTATTTGTTGATTCTCTGCTCACTTCCTCTTAGGACATGCTCAAAACATTACCATACTGTTTGTCTTATAGCTGTTGATACCACTGGTTGACTGGACACTTTCACATTTTTCTTTGCCTTTTTGTAATGCATTACTACTGAGATAACTCATAATTCAGGACAGGAGAGACTTCATCAATTCCTTACAGGTAACTAAACGCCGTGGGGCTTCTGGTTTTGTTGATTTTTCACTCCGTAGACTTTATACCATGGGGGTACCTATTGGAGCTGCATGGAGCCACATGTTTTTACATCAAACAGAACAGAATGGGAGTTTTTAGCCTAAAAACTCTTAGAGACATACTCAGGAGCAGATCGGAGCACTTATGGTCATGTCTGATGTGCAAGGAAGATGATCTCTAACATGAACTATAAACTAACTCAGATCATGTTTAATATATACACCTCTTATTTTTTGTTTATTATTTTTGCATAAGTATTTGTCTGTTTTTCAGGACAGTCCCGGGCCACTTGGGAACTGTCTATACTTGATGATGGTCTTCTGGAGCCAAACAAGAAGCTGAGGCTAACGCTTACGGATCCGGTGAACACCATCCTTGGAGAGAACAAGAAACTTAGAGTTGTTGTTGTCAATGCAGAAAATGGTATGTTATACACTAACTTGTTTTGCTTGTTGTCAATGCAGAAAATGGTATGTTATACACTAATTTGTTTTGCTTGTTGTCAATGCAGAAAATGGTATGTTATACACCAGTATGTTTTGCTTCCATTCAGACTGAACAAAATGCAGAAAAGTTAAATACAATTAATGTGTTGGTTTTTTGAGAAAAGTGCAAAGAATACCTTAAACAAACAAACAGGAACACTGACTAACAATGCATGATTTTACATTTTAACTTCTTGACCACCTCTATTATGATTATTATTATTTTGCTGCTGCTCCTCATCCTCCTCCTCCTTCAGCTTTCTGGGCCCTTGGGGTTAACTGCTGCAGATATCATCTCCATTTAGCTCTATGATTGTCCTTCTCTTTCCATTTGGTGACCCCAAATGTTTGTAGGTCCACTTTATCTTATCTCCCTCCACAATCTTCTTGATGTGCCTCATGACCTACTTCCTTTCACCTCTTTTGTTCACATTTTTTTTTTCTTTCTCTCTCTCTCTCTCTGTTACCAGCCACTCTGTCTATATGCCCCAACCATTACAGGCTAAAAACCATGATGCCAGTAATCACTAGTGATCTTCAAGATAGCAACAGAGAAACTGCTAAATACCAATCTTGGCTCACAGTATGTGGTAATGCTGACAGATGCTAAATCCGTACTTGAAGCACCCCAGTCTAGGAAACTACCAGAAATGCAAACACTGCTGACACAACTCAGCCTTCAGCGAAGAGTTGTAATGCAGTGGATACCGTCTCATTGTGTAGTGCCTGGAAATGAGAAAGCTGATCAAGTGGCAGGGGAAGGTGTGACAAAAGTGCAGCTGGATGTACCAGTCACATACCACCAAAAGAACAGAATCATTAAATCGATCAGGAAACCACCAGTCCCAGCACAAGACGACTATTTTGTTATGGACAGACCAGAACAAGTCATTATCCTCCGCCTCAGAACAGGGTACAACCGATTACGTAACCACATGTACACAAAATTCAAGATGGGTGTATCAGCTATGTGCACCTGTGGAAAGATGTCCCAGACAGCAGAGCATGTACTCCAGGACTGCACCGAATTTGACACATTAAGGCAAACCTTTTAGCCAGAAAGAACAACAGTGGAACATAAACTCTATGGACCACTGAATGAACTAACAACGACAGTGAAATTTGTACAAGAGACAAAACTGCTGATATAGACAACTTATTTCAGGCGAACGAAAGAAGAAGAAGAAGAAGACAATTTAAGCAGATTATAAAGGTCATTGCTGTTCTCGCTTTCCATTCTCTGCTCCTTGCATCTTTGATGGTCTAAAAAATCCTGCATTGCTGCTTTGTTTAAGTCCCCATCTTATCTAATGACTGAGTGCAATCTTTAGCATCCCATTCTCAGTTTAAAACTTGTGTGTTTCTCTCCACAGGAGAGTGTCCACAGTACATCGGTATGGTCAGCAAGCAGATGTCCCTGGAGGACACAGCCCATGGGGCTTCCTTGACCAGCCAGGACCAATTAGTGCAAGTAAGTGTTCGTATGTTAAACATTATGGTGCCAGCTGCCACAGAGAGCCATGCTAAAATAAGGAACACAAAGAAAGGGGAATACCTATTAAAATTTGAAAAAACCTTGAAAAAATGAAGACTCTCTTATACAGATTAGAAAAAAGGGTTCCCAAATACACCCTGGTTGACCTTTCATTCATGCTTGCTCAGGCTAGTCTATGTTACAGGGTTGTCACATTGTATCGTCTCTGTGCTGTCACCAGCGATGACATGTGTACTATATTACATAATGTGACTGCTTTTAACAACCTCATATCCAGAAGTGGCCCTAACCCCAACCCGCTTACCCCACAGCCTCAGCCTACGTCCTTTGAGAGAGTCCAGCATATGACCCGTGGTTTCAGATCTGTTAACATTTTGTGGTGAGTAAATTCATTCGCACTTCAAGTCTGAGAAAGCTATATTATATGTTACTAGTGCTGCTTACAACTGCAAGTAAAAACTCAGTGTCGCCAGCAGCTGCTTACAACAACGGGTAACACACAAGACGGAAAGCTTTGCGAAATTCATTACAGCATGACACCCCCTAGTAACATAGACTAGCCTGAGCAAGCATGAATGAAAAGTCAACCAGTGTATATTTGGGCTGGACATCATAAAAAGAACCAAAAAAGCATACAAACATCCCTGTTATCTCCTCTGCACTTTGCTGAGGTAACTGAAGGAAGAGAACAAACAAAAGACGAAAAATTACTTTTTCTTTACCCTAAACATCTACTTGTTAGTCAAAAGACAGCACACTTTTCTTACTCTTCTGTGGAAGATAGTTGTTACAGAATTCATTACAGCTTTTCCTCGGCCATACACACTTACAACCACACACAAACATACATAATAAATAAAGAAATATAACTACATCGGTAGGGTCACAAAAGTTCCAGAAACTGATGCCTGGAGAATAACATATATGCCAATGTACAATAACTATATGGGCATAGATTGAATTGTTTTATTCAATTTATTGGTATAAATGGGACAGTTTAGATCAGGCTTCACAAATTGACTTCATTCTGTTCAGGAACACAAAGTGAAGACAATTAATAGACTCAAGAGTCCTACCAAACACAAACATTGACACTGATCATAGTACAGAAAACCAAGACATAAAATAGTAACCACAGATGTTTTCAACTTCCGGAGACTTCAGGATAATGTGGTTAAAGATGGGATCCAACAAGAAATGACAGAGCTACTAAAAAACCTTCCAGGCGAATATTTGGACATTGATTCAGAGTGGACATGTTTTAGGACGGCTATGCTCAACCCACTTCAAACCAAATGCGGAGTCAAAAGGGTAGGTGGTGTAAAACATTTAAGAACTATTTGGTGGAACAATGAAATTAAAGACAACCTATCCAGATAGAAGGAGGCATATACAAAAATGGCTAAAATCAAAATCACATCAAGATTATATCCATTACAAATTAGTAAGAAGAAAAGCAAAATGTAAAATTGAAGCATCTAAAGACGAGTCTTGGAGAAATTATGGTCTACAGATGGCCACCCTCAGCAAAACTCCCCTAGAGAATTCTATAAACTTGTAAAAATCAAGAGAGAAAGAGACTCTACAACCCAACAACTATCATCAACAACAAGAGAGGCATACATCTATTTAGTCCACAACAGAGGTTGGCAACATGGGCAGAGTATTTTCAAGAAATTCTCAACCCCACAGGAAACGTAGATAATTTTAACTTTTTTCTTCAAAGCTGCGAACAAGAGGAACCAAATTTCATAGCAGCAGAAGTAAGAGCAGTTATACAGGACAGCCCCAGAAACAAGGCACCAGGTCTGGATGGAATTAATACAGAAGGGATCCAGGCCTGGGGAGAAGCGGGTGTTAAATGGCTTACTAGAATTTTTAAAATAGCTTGGGAAGAAAGGAAAGTCCCAGCTGAGTGGCAACAGGCACTGATAGTACCGATATGGAAAAATAAAGGTAATAGGAGAGAATGTGAAGCATACAGAGGTATATCACTACTGAGTCAGGTAGGAAAAATGTACGCTAAATTACTAGAACAGAGAGTTAGACCCATAGCTGGACAACAGTTGAGTGCATCAAAGTTCGGTTAAGAAAAGGCAGAGGATGCACAGATGCACTATTCACTCTGAGGCAAGTGTGTGAGAAAGCCATTGAGTTTAACACCAAACAGAATATGTTTTGTAGATCAGTAAAAGGCCTTTGATAGAGTGGAAAGAAACAAACTGGTCTGTTTGATAGAGTGGAAAGAAACAAACTGGTCTGTTCTTGAGAACTACGGGGTGCAAGGACAGTTACTAGAGAACATCATAGCCATGTACCACACAAGCCAAAGTGCTATAAGAACACAAGAAGGCATATCAGATATGTTCATAGTCAACACAGGTGTGAGACAGGGATGTGTGCTCTTCCCACTTTTATTTAACATATATATAGACAGAATATCTAAAGAAGCAAGTTCTGAAACAGACAACAATAATCATGACGAAGTACACACATCAGGAGAAGTTATCGATTCACCAACATTAAATGAACTACTATTTGCTGACGACCAGTGCTTGTTCTACCCTGAAGAAGATAGACTGTAAGACCACATTAACAGGTTAAACTCAGCATGCAGTAAATACAACATGAAGATCAATGCAAACAAAACCGAAACAATGCAAGTTAGTAGAACCCCTGCCCCACTACACATACAGTTGAATGGTTCTGCTCTGAATCAAGTTAAGGATTTTAAATATCTAGGAAGTATGATCACAGAAGATGGTAGAATTGACAGAGAAATAGAAACCAGATGTCAGAAAGCAGGTGCACTTATATACCAATTGTCACCATTATTAAGACATCCCAGCATAACTATGAGTGCAAAGAGACAGATTATTAACAGTATATTCATTCCAACATTAAGCTACAAGTGTCAAACATGGACACTATGTAAATCACCACCTGCGAGATGAGGTGCCTGAGAAAAGCAGCCAACCCAACCATACGAGACCGAGTGAATAATGAAACTATCAGGCAAATTGTGGGAACGACACCTTGTACTAGATTCATCGAGAAACAGCAGATCAAGTGGTTTGGCCATCTCGTTAGAATGTAGCAAAATTAAATACCACCACAAGCACTACATTTTAGAAGATCAGCTACAAGAGCAAAAGGGCGGCCGCGGAAAATATCCATTGGCAACAGTGAAGACACTCTAAACCTTCAGGGCATGACAAAAGCCAGTGGCAGCCAACGTGCACTGGATCGCAAATTATTCCTTCCCACGATGCTTAATGGCAGAAGTGGTTTATGATGATGATGACAGAAAGTATTGGAAGCCATAGAAGTGTATTGATTTCAGTATTTCTCTGAATATAAAACAGAGTTTTATAAAATAAGTCAATATTGTTCTGTTTCGTTACAAACAAAGCCTAGGACATCCATTTTCTTTTGGAAATTTGCCTTCTTTAAACTTTCACATTGCTTAGTGCAACAATGCTTGGCATATGATATCACAGTATCTAGTTTGAGAATAGAGGTGGAGGCAGTCACTGCAGTCTTCCACTGGCTTGAGAACCAGCTGCACCCCATGTCTTGTGTACACCTGTGTACTTACATACAGTATCTCTTGTATCTATAGATTAAAAACTGGCATCTTCATTCCTACTTTATGCTGTCAGTGCCAAACATGGAAAATGTATAGGTCACTAAAATAGAAAATAACTACATGTGAAATGTGCTGTCTTGTTTAAGTGATTAACACAACAATGGATGAGGTTACAAATACCTGCATTAAAGAGAAAGTTGGAAAAAGGCCATGTCTGAACTATACTGCGAGTCAAAGATTGAGTGGTTCGGCCATCTAGTGAAAATGCAACCAGACCAAACATATGAGGCTTTTTTTTTTTTACATCTGGTAGAAAGGGGAGGGGAAGACAAAGAAGGAGATGAATAAATGGTGCAGGTAAAACCTGCAAAAAGATGAATGGGTCCATCACCCAAGCCACACAAGAAGTGCAAGACAAATGCAGAAAAACTACAACACTGTCTACAACCTTCAGTATCAGTAAGACGACAAAAGAAGAAGAATGAAACAAACATTCAGTTGTATCTCTGCATGTTTTTCTTTTTGATCCGTCACTGAGCTTCCTGGTAAACATATGTATTTATTCAGTCAATTAGTTTCTTGATATCAGCACCACTGCAGTCACAGGGTTTTGACGAAGATAGGAACTTCCTGTGTGAAAGGGGTCAAGCCACTTACCTCCTGCTCAGAAGAGCATTGCAAAATAGAATGGGAGTTGTTAGCCTGAAAACATTTAGACATATACTCAGGAGGAGATCGGAACAACATTTAGACATATACTCAGGAGGAGATCAGAGCAACATTTAGACATATACTCAGGAGGAGATCGGAGCAACATTTAGACATATATTCAGGAGGAGATCGGAGCAACATTTAGACATATACTCACGAGGAGATCGGAGCAACATTTAGACATATACTCAGGAGGAGATCGGAGCAACATTTAGACATATACTCAGGAGGAGATCGGAGCAACATTTAGACATATACTCAGGAGGAGATCGGAGCACTTATGGTCAATGCCCATGTGTGATAAAGACGATCTTTAAAATAAACAATAAACAGTGAGCAATGCTTTTTAGCAAGCCAGTGGGTGTATTCTCCCCCCCCCCCCCTTTCCCCACTTTTCCACCATCCCCGACCCAGAATAGAACCTTGAACCCACATGGGGAAAATATGTACAAAGTTTGAAAACCGAGGTTCCACTGTATAATTTGTGTGTGTGTGTGTGTGTGTGCGTCTTCATTGCTAAAACCATGCTTATCTGGTCTCCCCCAGCAGCAGCAGCACAAGTTGAGCAGCATACCCTTATCTCCGAGATTCGACAACAATTTCCTGAACACGGAAGCTGAGAAGAAAACTGCCAGAGAATCCTCTTCCCCTGTCCTCGACAAAACATCAGTGACTCCCTTTGGGACTAAAAAAAACAGATCTAAAAATAAAAAGGGGAAAAAGAAGAAAAAGGGAAAGAAAAGGGGTGGGAAAAATGGCCGGAAGAATGAAATCCCTAGGGCAGATTTTGCGTCCAACTTGCCAGCGACATCACCAAGTTATGCAGACGTAGGACGACCTCAAACACCAGTCACTTATCAGGTAAAATGTGTTTTTTTTTTTTAATTTTTTTAATTTTTAATTTTTATTTAGTAAACTTTGTCTATGGTTGTTTAATCAACAAAAAATAAAATAATTGGCAAACTGAATGAGGAAATAAATATTTCATGAAGTAAAGCAAACTAAGTATTGGAACAGCTTCAGCTAGCACACCCACCAATGTGTTTTTTTTTTTTGACAGCATAAGTCAGTGCCGGTCAGCACAAACAAACATCTCACACAAAACATTTTCATTCCCGCCCAATGCCACCATTTCCAGATATAATCACTCAACAATTCAGACAAGAAAATTAGTAACTACGGAAAGGAGAAAAGCTGCCCAATGCCACCATTTCCAGATATAATCACTCAACAATTCAGACAAGAAAATTAGTAACTACGGAAAGGAGAAAAGCTGCAGGGGTGACCAAAATAAATAAAATCAGTAATGACCTCAGAAGAGAAAAATTAGCACAGAACTAATAAATTTTATTTATGTGCATGTCTTTTGTTTGTCATCTCCCTTATGATGTTATGCATTCCTTAATTATTTTTTAGATAAGCAAAAATAGCACTACACATTTCTATGATATTCATTTTATTATGGTTGGTTGATTGCAGAGCTGGTTTTACCCATAAAAAGCACTGCAATAACAATTTGAACCTGTGATATTTAAACTTCTTCTTCTTCTTCTTGCTTGCTTGCTTTCTTTTTGTCTTGTTCTCTTGTTTCTTTGTAGCATTCTCCAGCTGTAGATTCTGGCAGAAAGTTCTGGTTATTTACCTTCTTCTGGACTTTGAGCTTGTTCCAAAACTTGAGTTTTGTGTGCACATCCACATTTTTACAGAAGTTGCTTATTTGTATGCAGAATGTTGGTTCCTTGCCTCTAAGGCAGATGTACTCTGATCTAAAAGAATCACCCCCCTCCCAATCCCCAATTAGTCAACTTGTTTAGCAAGCGTATTGAGGTGACTGTGGATCAATTTTTTTTACCCCTAATGAGACCCCACAAATGACACAGGGAAATGAGGGAGTATCTAAACCCATAACTGTTACACTAGACTCATCATCATGTAGCAGGTCCTTTGCAGAACGTTGCTCTCATCACAGTCTGCCTGAAAGAAACTCAGTCTCTCGCCAGTTCTCGCCACCTCATGAATTTTCACACTCAAGGAGTCACTTATATCCTGTGCCCATCTTCGTGTTGGTCGCCCCTGCACCTCCTTCTTGGTACCATGCCTTCTGCTATAATTTCTTCTAATCCACTGTGGATATGACCAAAATATTCAGCTTTCGAGAAAGAATGCTGTTTATTAGCTAATCTTCCTTGATGTTCAGATCTTTTAAGATGTCAATATTTCTAATCTTCTTTGTCCAAGATATTCTGAGAATCTTTCTATAGTATTTCAGCTCAAAAGCCCCTATTCTCTTTCTTAGGGACTGAGAGATAGTCCATGACTCACATCCATATGTAGTCACAGGGAAGATGCATGCTCTCAAAATTCTAATTTTTATCTCCTTCTGGTGCTTAACCATAAACTTTTGAGGCACACTACATTAGACTACATTAGACTACACTAGACTACACTAGACTACACTAGACTACACTAGACTACACTACACTACACTAGACTACACTAGACTACACTAGTCTACACTAGACTACACTACACTAGACTACACTAGACTACACTAGACTACACTAGACTACACTAGACTATACTAGACTACACTAGACTACACTACACTAGACTACACTAGACTACACTAGACTACACTAGACTACACTAGACTATACTAGACTACACTAGACTACACTAGACTACACTACACTACACTACACTACACTAGACTACACTAGACTAGACTAGCATATTTCAGATAGAAGGCATTTTGTTTGTGTGTTTGTTTCGCTTCTTTAAAAACAAAGTTGCATGTCCTTTTTCATAAAGACATTAACCAAACCCAGAATTTATTTGCTGTTAGGTTATTTTGGGTCCACATTTGTGGCTTAGGTGTTACTTATGCACTTCATAATACTGAGATGATCAGTTTGATCTCAGATGCAAGTGATTTGCCAGCAGACAGCCTTGCAGTTATTTAAACAGTGGTATCAAGAGCTGAACATTCAGGGGCAGTGGCAAACTACTAAAAGTCAAATTGCCGGATAGAATCACAAACAGCTAAAAGATACCTGAGTTAGGTCTGCAACATCCCGTAAAGGACACCCAACTAATTTTAGTTTTACTAGATCATTTTAAATTCACTAGTTTACCACTTCTTGCTGACTGGTAGGATGCTCATACTCTTATCAGAATCCGCTCAAAGCAGTCCGCTAGCAAATCATCCGAAGCTTACTTCAAACCTGCTATGTCGAGATTATTAATCTGGGCTTACAACCCTTACTCCACAGTCGATTTCTGTTTAACTGTATACATCTATAAATGGTAACAATTTACGTTTTCACTATCTTTACTTACTATGAAGCAGCTGATAAATCACTTTTCATACCAGTAGTCTGCTATCAGTGCTAGGCATGGATAGTCCTAGAAAAAAACGTAATGGAAAAAAAGTTAAAACATATGAAAAGAGATGTATAGGAAACGTGCGCAGAAAAACAAGAAGAGGCATTAATGAAAAACTAAGAACAATGATATGCACAGTAGCAGTAAATCATTTCATAGAACATCAAAGAATCAAATAGCTTGATCGTCTGGTCAGAATGGAACAAAATCAGCCAGCAGCTAGAGTGTACTAGTCAAGAGGCTGACCAAGAAAGAGATGGGTAGAGGGAGTAAAAGGGTCACAACAGAAATGCAATATGACATTACTGAGACTAGCAAAAGACAGGAAGTAAAAAAGTAAAGGACCATTTTCCACGCCTTTAGGCATATAGGGATAGACCTATATTTTATAGACCAACAGCACAAGATGGGTGATGTGGTCAGCATTATGCCGGCCGCCTTTACTTTCCCGGGACTGCACCCGGTACCCACTCAAGGCTGGGTCGACTTGGGAGCCGGGGTCATTTTTGAAAAAAGGCCGGCTCCGTCAGAAATAAACCCACGATCTTCCGATCTGCCACGGCGACTCCCAAAAGACAAGAAACTTACATTTCCTCTGTGATGCTTTACGCCAGTGATTCCTAAACTGTGTTCCGTGGCACCCTGGGGAGCCGCAACCTCTTCATAGGAGCGCCATGAAATATTGTAAAAGCTTCATAATTAATTTAACCAAGACACGAACAGTCATACATTTATATAGGTTAGGGTGCCGTGGAAGAAATGTTAATTGAAAAAAGACGCCGCAACCAAGAAAAGTTTTGGAAACACTGCTTTATGGGATAAGCAGTACGACAAAAGAACAAAGAAGACTTCCAATGAAACTGCTTTTGTGTAGACTTATTTCATTCAATGATAACATGAAATCATACATGTTGTATTGTTGTCTACAATAATTTGCGTTCTTGAATACGGAAGCTGTTTTCTTATTTATGAAACTTAGGTCCCCAAAAAGTGCACCTCGGTGACCAAAGGTTTGTTACATTTTGATGACTTCAACTACCAGCTGGTCAAATGTGATGGCAAGAAATGGCAAGCCTGGAGTCCCAGTTCTGGCAATGATGCTACTAGTTCAACTACCTGCGAGCAAGGTAGGAAACTTAACTACATCTTCTATTTTTTTTTTCATTCCAAGATTGTTTTATGATTATGTAGTAACTGTAATTTTATACAATTTTATTTTATACAAATGCCTCGGAAAATGGTGAAAGTAATATGGGAAGAATTCAAGAGGAGTGAACAAAAATATGAGAAATATCCAGGCAACCACTAGTAACAACAATTATAAGACAGAGAAGACAGACTGCGGACTACGTGGTCTCGAGATATGGTGTCAGCCTCAAGTGCTGGAGGTCCTGGGTTTAAGCCCTGGTAAAGGCTGGGATTCTTTCACATGGACTTCTAACAATTTCCTCTGGTCTTTGGGTAGTAAGATTGGATGCTAGTGTGTATTGTTGCGCACGGTGCTGCCTAGACAAAATTTGGAGTTAAAAATCTACCAAAAGTATTTCAGGATCCTCGCCAGTACTATGGAGTTTGTGCACTGCACTGCGATTCTTCAGACTCAAGGCTTCAGTCATAAGTAGAACGGAGCATTTATGGATTACTACCCTTGTGCCATGATGTTGATATATCATCTAAACCTAAACCTAGACAGAGAAGACGGTGTTATATTGGAAACATTCTAACAAGAGACTCAAAGAGACTCACAGAGGCTTACAGAGACTCACAGAGACTCACGGAGGCTCACGGAGACTCACAGTGACCCACAGAGACTCACAGAGATTCACAGAGACTCACAGAGACTCACAGAGACCCACAGAGACCCACAGAGACTCACAGAGACCCACAGAGACTCACAGAGACTCACAGAGACTCACAGAAACTCACAGAGATTTATAGAGACTCACCAAACAGGCACTGAAATGGGAAGTAGAGGGATTGAGGAAATGAGGACGTACAAGAGAAACCCTAAGGTTAATGTTAATGAGGGAAGCCAAAGATGCTTGACTGGATTCCAGCCATAATGGATAGAATGGAATGAAGAAATAGACTGTGAGCCTTAAGTGACATATAATAGTACAACAGGAAAATGAATTAATAAAATAATGTCATGTTTTAATTTACATATTTTGATTTTAGACTTTTCAAAAACATGATATTTACGTTTACCTAAACCATGTGATTATTAAATACTACATTGATAATACCAGTGTCTGTGTCCTTTAGAAGTTGCTTTAGCACAGTGGCTGAATGCTTGCCTATTGGCTCAAAGGTAGTGAGTTCAGATCATCAAATTCAGATAAGACAAATGGTATAATTGACCAGGCTCCGAGATTGACCAAAGCTCAAATGGGTGTCATTCAATGTCCTGAAATGTAAAGAAGGCTGGCGTAATGTTTGTCTCATCACCCATTGACTGCCAGGTGGGCTGTCGAAACAGGGGTAGATATATCAGATGGGCCAGTGGCATGAAAATTGTCTTTTATGTTCTTGGTCTTGTCTTATGTTCAATTTTTCTAATCACTTTATGATCTTCATAGCTTTTTGAAAGAAGATTTTTTCTTTTTGTAAGATTTTATTTAGTTTGGTTTTGTTTGTTACTCTGGTACAGTTTTTGCATTTGGTTTTATACTGTTTCCTGATGAGCTATTGGGCTGACATTTTGTGCAGACATGCACCCATCCACACACACATACACGCGCACACCCCCCCCCCCCCCCCACTCCCCACCCACACACTTACTTACTTACTTTGTGTATGGTCATGTGCAATATGGTGAAAAATATTCGGATTATTTTATTTTGCACGTTTCCGAAATATGCTGTTTATAGTGATTATCCATCTTAAAGTAGCTCAAAGGGTAATGAAGATAATGGTGACATGTACACTGTAACAAGAAACAATAAGATTTATGTAGTTCAATGGAAAGGATCCATGGTTTGTGCTTCATTTAATGGTTTTGTCAATGCTGTAGTACCCACCTGAGGAGATACAGCTTTTTCTTCCTGCCAGTAGTTTTCAGATGAGAAGGATGTCAGGCCTCTCTGAAGTCTGTGATGTGATGCATGTGTTTCACTTTTCCATATAGTGTTTTATTCCGCTGGAATGCCACCCGGCCAAACCTTGGATCACTCTACTGTGTGTAGAGAGTATGTCTGTTGCATATGTTCTGTGGTGCCTGCTCACATGGGCTAAGTTCTGAATCTCCAGTCTTGAATTTCTTGTACATATGGTTGCAGAATCTGTTGTGTCAAGTACACAATCTCCATATAATTGTCTGTTTGTTTTGTGTGAGGAATTTTATTGGATCTTAATTAACGATTGTATCTTGAATGCGATGTGTTCTAATGGCTGCCCTGATCAGAGAGGTATTTTCCTTATAAGCTTGTTCTTTATCTGGCTGTGCTGTGTTACTTTCATAGGTTCTATCCCAATATCTTCGCCCAAACAGACAGTCAAATATTTTAGGGGGTAGTAGATAGGCTCTAAGCAGTCGTGAGACCTAGGCTGAAGTCTCTCGTGGAGCGTTGGTGAGTTGGGGTTAGGCCCAGTTCTAGATGTTTTGGGGTAGTTAAAAACATCAGAAATTTGGGAAATCCTCTCTTCCCCCCCCCCCCCCCCCCCCCGGACTGTCCTCTTACATCATCCGGGGGGAGGGGGGGAGATATTAGGAAAGCACCCTTCCATATTGTGCAGCATTTTGTTTGTTTGTTTTATTGTTTGCTTTCAAAATGGAAAAACATTTAGTAAAGTATATATTTTAAACTGGCAAGAGAGCTAGAGAAAGTTAAAGCAGTAACTATGTGCATGGCTTGGCCACATGGGTGGGGTGTAACAAGAAAACTGACCTGATCTTTGGTTCTGGTGATTTTGTGAGATGGCTAAACATGACAACCTATGCTTGCTGGCAAATCACGTATTGGTTGATGTTGATTTTAAACGTATATTACACATTCATCACAGAGTTTTATAGAAAGGAGTATCAATTGAGTTCATGTGCTTTCATTGCTGTGATTGGTTTTCCAGGCTTCTATGAGTATGAAAAACGCTGCTACAAGCCCATGAATGAGCGTTTGAACTGGGATGAGGCTGAGGATAAGTGTGTCAAGATGTTTCATGGACACCTGACCTCTGTGAGGTCTCAGAGACATTTAAGGTGGCTCGCTGAAAAGGTGTTCAACAAAGCATTCTGGATAGGTGAGTTGTCCAAATCTTTACTGGACCCTAGAGTTCTCTGTGTGTGTCTCAGGGTCCCATTTCAGGGCAGTATAAAGAATACTGCCCCCTAGAAAGCATGTTATTAAAAAACCACTAAATAGGTTTTGTCCTACGGAGTTGGAGTTGCCTGAGAGGTGAGGAACCAACAATCTGCACTCACATAAGCCAGATATGTAAAACAGAAGTACATGCAGAACTCAAGTTATGAACAAGACCAAAGTCGAGAAGTGGACAAACAACCAGAGCTTTAAACCAGAGTTTAAGAAGAATAATCAATAGGCCAAATCATGTTCAGCATTTGCACCTGAAAGGGCAATTAATACATTCTGACAATCAGTCATGTGCCTTCTTCACAGGGAAAGTTGGTAGTGAGGATTCTTCTTCTTCTTCTGCCTTTCTATTCATCAGTGGAGTATAGGCGCCAAACAACTTCACTCTCTAGCTCTCTTCTATATGTGTTTTTGGTTTCCTTTATTTCTATGCCCCTATGGGTTCCAGTGCAAAGACATTCTAGTTATTTTGTTGTCAGGTTTTCTCAACATATGTCCTATCCAAAGCCAGCATCTTTTTTTTCCACAAATGAAGTCTGATTTGCAAGTAAATTTGAAAATGTTGTACTAATCACAAACATCACCGAATCTCGCAGGGGTTCCCCATTCATGTTGTGGCTTATCCCACAAGCTGTTCTATGTTCTAGGGGTGTTATGTTGTGTTATTTTCAATGCTGTGAGCATTCTACATTCCACGTTGTGAGTGGCCAGCATGTTCTATTTTCCATGTTATGAGTGACTGGCACTGTGTGTGTTACACCATTTGCTATGGCTCTTCATCACTATCACTTTGGCCTTACTCTGTGACTGAACTTTGAGATGAATTTTTTTAAGCTGTCAACATTGGCAAGTGACAAGAACCCATGGTAATGGCCACGGCATGAATGGGAGCTGGCGCAAAATCTCAAAATGTTGTGACATTTGTGATATGTACAAAATTTGTGTGTGTTAGTTGTTGAAAGTAAGAGACCCTTTTTGACACCAGTGGCCTATCAGGCATATGATGCTAGACTTATATTTTTATATATTTTTATAGACTCATATTTTATATATTTCAAATATTTCATATTTGGTGTCTTGGGAAATGAACAGGTGGACAGACTGGCTGGCTCTGCACAACTTGGTGGAATACTGATACATGATAAGGCAGACGTTGTTAGTGCCTTGTGGGAGAGCGTGTACAGTTCAGAGGAGCAGATGGATCACCACAGTCTGGTGAAATTGATGCAGTTGGGGGTGACGAGAGGTTCTGACAGATGCTCGAGGCTCAGAGGAAAGGCAAGACGGACGTTTAATCAGAATGCTACTGGCACCATTAGTATCGGAACTCCTCGCTGGCTGCTGAAGATAGGGGCGGAGAACTTATGGGAATGCCCCGAGTGCTGTGATGTCGGTTCTTGAATCAAATCAAATCAATCAAATCATATTTTTATAGGTCAGTCAGCTGTGGACGGGTGATGTGGTCAGTGTCATGCCATCCAGCTTTTTTATTCAGATTCCAATTGTAAACAAAACAGAAAAATAAAAAAAACTATTTGACCATGTTCAGCATGCTGTGAACAGCTTTTACCACATGCAGAGTGTGGTTATATTTGTGCTCTGTTTTGTGTGTGCCAAGTTTATTGCCTCAGATTTGTGCATTTGCACTAGGAGGGATGGCTTAGTTTCCCCATCCCTGTGTACTGCTCATCCCTGCATGTCTCAATCCCATCTATCTTTAATCCCCAGCACTTTGTCTAGTACCCATTTTAGACTTTGTTCACCTGGGAGCCAAGATAATTTTCTTTCAAAATATCTAACTCAAAACAGATTTCAACCCAAGATTTTTGGGCTGGTATGTGAACATATAACCACTATGATACCTAGGGCTCTTTTTTTCTCTAGAAAAGAAAGGTGCCAATACTCATATGTTGTGTGTTGAACTAAGAATCATCATCTTAGTACCCAGTACACTTCCATAAGCGCTCCCTCCCCATATTCAGCAGCAAGCAAAGAGTTCCAGTTTCGATGGTACCAATAACTGTCTGATTGTACAGTCGTCTCGCCTTTGATGTACTCATCACATATGATAGTTCTCATAACAGAATGTATAATAAAAGGTGCTGATATGCACCATAAAGTGTCTATTACAGTAGTGCTGAAATAAATGATGCCTGAAAAAGGGGCGATACTGCATACCATCCGGTGCTGTCATTTTAAAAAAGCCCTGACACTACCGAGGCTTCCCAGTGCAATGGTATTAAATGTAAATTTAATGAATAAACAGTCTGCTTTATACATGACATAAATTTATTTCTGTGTGTATTCATCTCTAGGTCTCAGCGACAATGGTGACAGTGGTCAGTGGCAGTACACAAATGGAGATTCAATGACTTATGTCAACTGGAAAAATGGAAGACCCCACCATCAGGGCAGATCTCAGAAGAAGAAGTGTGTGGTGGTGAAGAAAGAGTCCCAGTGGCGAGACAAACTTTGCAATAAATTTCTGGCTCGTTATGTCTGTGAGGCACAGCCAAGTGACGAAGCTGCCAGCAGAACAGCATCAAGACAGCATGACTTGTTACGAAGACATGCTCGCCAGCCAAGCAGTCGTCAGCAGTCACAGTTAGATGAAGACAGATTACCATATTTTCAGAAATCTTCGTAATATGCAAAGGAACATTTATGTGTAGATTTTACCCTAAGGAGCTGTTCTGCATTTAATATATACATATCAAGATTGTTTGTAAGCCACTTAAAAGTGGCCATTGTTTGAGATGACAAGAACATTATTGTAAAAGTTGATGTGACCTGAAACAAACAATCAAAACTTGACGTTTTTGAGAATGACTGACCATCAAAATTAGAGCCAGCAGATGTATGCATTTGTATATACCAGTAATAAACGGTCTGCAACCGTGCTGAGATGTTATGGACCTATGTTGCCAGAACCCACATTTTTGTCGGCAAGTTACTAGATTGTTGATGTGGTCAGCATCACATTGGCTGCTTTTACTTCCAAGAACTGCTGTATACTTATAGACCTGTCTGAGGAGTTCATATTAGTGCTAGCAGACATATGCATTTATATATATTAAATTTAATTGATCTGTTTAATTTTATATATAAAGTAAACCTTTTCGTCATAAAAGCTGAAAAAAACTTGCACTTTGGGTTGGGTTCAGTTCTCTGTAAATGTCACTTTTCTGACTTGCCCCTAGTGGCTTGTTTACGAGATGTGTAGTTTATGCTGCTGGGCCAAGTTAGCATCCACTCAAAAATTCAGGATACCATGAAATGAAGGTCACAGAGTCACAGCAGGAGTCACCTGATATGTTTGTTTGTTTAGATCCATTCAGTTCTTCTCTATGTTAACGGTATTGAATACTGTTTTCATACACCTTTTTATATTTCAACTGAACAAAAACAAAATATAGATAAATACATGTTTAAAACAAATTTATTAGTGGCATATGTGAAAATTATTGTTTTTACAAATTTATTTTCTGGAAATTTTATGTGATCATGACCTGTCATTTTCAGTGTTTCAAGGCTGAAAGGGTTAATGGGGCTATTAATGTTATAAATAAAATGAGGTGCAGTGGGTGTATGATGCTAGACAACATATTTGTTTAGGCCAGTCAGTATCATGCTAGCCACTATGATGCTGGACAACATATTTGTTTAGGCCAGTCAGTATCATGCTAGCCACTATTATGCTAGACAACATATTTGTTTAGGCCAGTCAGTATCATGCTAGCCACTATGATGCTAAACAACATAATTTTATAGGCCAGTCAGTATCATGCTAGCCACTATGATGGTAAACAACATAATTTTATAGGCCAGTCAGTATCATGCTAGCCACTATGATGCTAGACAACATATTTTTATAGGCTAGTTAGTATCATGCTAGCCACTATGATGCTAAACAACATAATTTTATAGGCCAGTCAGTATCATGCTAGCCACTATGATGCTGGACAACATAATTTTATAGGCCAGTCAGTATCATGCTAGCCACTATGATGCTAAACAACATAATTTTATAGGCCAGTCAGTATCATGCTAGCCACTATGATGCTAGACAACATATTTTTATAGGCCAGTCAGTATCATGCTAGCCACTATGATGCTAAACAACATAATTTTATAGGCCAGTCAGTATCATGCTAGCCACTATGATGCTGGACAACATAATTTTATAGGCCAGTCAGTATCATGCTAGCCACTATGATGCTAAACAACATAATATTATAGGCCAGTCAGTATCATGCTAGCCACCTTTACTTCCCAGGACTGTTTTATTCAAAGAAATACATATAATCCTACATTGTACAAATGAGCACCAATGGCTTTGTCCCTGAGTATAGCAATAAGTGCAAACAGCTCAGCCCTCTGAGTTTAATTGTCTGGGAACATTGTTTACCAATGATGGTAAATTGGATGAAGAAATTAACATAGCATGCAGTAAAGAAAACCAAGTATTGGGACAACTTGCATATTTGTCTCATCTGTTGTGTATTCAGTTGTCAAAATAGTTCAATACAGTTTAAAACTAAATAGTTCCACAACATGTTGTTTGTAGTCTGTAAACAAATAGCAATGCAGAAGCTTAGCCAGGAAAAAGAGAGGAAAAAATTAATTACTGCACAGGGGCACCATACATGAAAAAATACGGCCCTGTAACTAACAACTTGTGAAAGTATATTATATCTGAAGTTTATTCCTGCCTGTCACAGTGGAAACTTGTGTACGAATTCTACTTCTCTTGTAGATTTGTTAATTCCACTATTTATGTTTATTAAATTTGTACATATAGTTTTGTGGAAATGCTATTTGGGTGTTCATTTTTATTTGATAGCAATGTGTAACCTGGTTACTTGTTCATGTTTATTTATAGCAAATTATTTGTTCATATTTCATCATCATTATCTAACAGGCCCTTTGCAGAATTTCGTTCCCATCACAGCATGCCTGAAAGAAACTGGTACCCTCGTCATCTCTTCTATTGCATGTACTTTCCTGCCCAAAGTGTCTCTTATGTTTTGGGTCCACTTTCATTCCCCTCTTACCTGATACATTAACCTATAATACTGTTTTTTTTTTTCGAATCTACTGTGACATTTGATATGGTCATAGTATTTCAGTTACTGTGAGAGGATGCTGTTTCTTCGTCTTCTTCTTCTTCTTCTTCTTCTTCTTCTTCTTCTTCTGATTATTATTATTATTATTATCTTTTTCTCTAGTCCTGACTTGCCCTTCAGTGTCATGGTTTAAAGCAGCATTGGGTGCGAGCATTGATGTGTGCTACATAGATGCTCATATTAACAGCTTGAATATTCCATCTATCCATAATTTTGTGTGGTCAACCTCCGGCTCTGCTTTCATTCTGCCTAATTTATATGGCTGTCTGTATTACACTGTCTGGTGGTAGTCTTGACTAATATCTAAACCATTTGATCTGTCATCTCCTGTAGTTTGGTACTGGTTCTGTCCAACTTCTTTTTTGATACCATCATTCCTGATCATTTCTGTTCTAGCTACAGTTAGGATTCCTTGTAGACACTTCATTTCTGTTGTTTGGATTTGTTGTTGTTGTTGTTGTTGTTGTTTTTGTTGTTGTTTTTAATGTCTATGTTTGGCACTATTAACAACATTTTTATTCTTCTTAATCAATGTTATTCTAAGAATCTTTCTGCAGCATGTAACCTCAAAAGACCCTGTCCTCTTTGTTGATGTTTGTGAGATAGTCCACTACTCACATCCATGTTGTTGCTACAGGAATGATGCATGCTGTCAACATTTGAACTTTGTAATTGCTGCTTGTGCTTAGATACAGATTTTAATGCTGTTCAGTCTTTACATTGTTATTGCCATTCATTTCTTGAACAGACTCTACTGTGTACATGTACTTTGTGACATATTATATAATTTGGACAGCATCATCACTATGTGCATAGTAAACTAGATCTCTGAGGGGAAAAAGAAGTGAGCTTAGAAACTAGTCACATTTACTCAAAAAACTGTAACCTGACATATATGAAAACTAAAGCATCTCAACCCAGTATCTCAGGATTCCATTTTGGGGGGAGGAAAAAGAATAGACTCAATACCCCCAACAGGTTTGTTGCGTATCCTTTACAGGACGTTGCAGAACCAACCCAACAGCCCAACAACCCCAAGTTTACGTCCTGTAGTTTGCCATTGCTTGCTGGACGGTCGGCTTTCTTGATACCACTGTCGAAACCAATGCAAGGCGCATGGCCCGCAGCTGGAATCAAACCCAGGCATCCTGACATTATGAAGTGTTTGCATCGACTTAGCCACAGAGCTGACACCCCCAACAAACTTGTCATAAAAGTCGGAGGGCATATGCCTGAGAGGCCAGGAACCAGGAGTCTGCTTACAGAAAAGCCAAATCTGTAGAGAAGAAAGTGCACGCAAAACCTGTTCTCTGGAACAAGACCAAAGTCCAGAAGTGGACGACCAGCCATAACCTTTTGCCTGAATTTACAGCTGGTAAGGCGTCCATGGCTAAGGTGTTGCGAGTCTGACTCGTAATCCAATGTACCGCGATCGAAACCAGCTGGTAAACATGAAGAAGAACAGGAACCCAGTATGTATTAAAAGATTGCATATTTTTAAACCTACTTGATTGCAAATTCTTTTTTTTTTAGAAATGACAATAATTTTTTGGATCTTTAATTGGAGGAAAAGATTTTAGACAGGTCTTGGACAGCTGGGTGTCTAAGAAAAAACATAAATACAAATGATGGCAGTAGTGGATTCTGGAATCTCATGCACTTATTTGTAAAGATTTTTTTTTTTTTAACATGAGCAAGCTCTGATTCCTATGCCTCCATGACCCAATTATCTAGAAAGATGGACAGGTGCCAGTAATCCAGTATGTTAACATAAGATAGTGTATATGTAGAGTTGTAACATAAGAAAGTTGTAGGTGCAATTTTGTAACATAAGAGAGTTGTTGTAATGTAATATAAGAGAGTTATAAATACTGTAGTGTAAAATAAGAGAGTTGTAGATGCAGTATCACAGACATCAGAAGGAGACAGTCATCTTTTTTTGGCCATGTTATGAGAAAAGGAAAAATGGAACATGTTGTGACCACTGGAAAGATCTGAGGGGGGGGGGGAGGGAGGGGGAGGGGGGGTAGGGATAGAGGAAGACAATGAGAGAAGATTCTTGACAGTCTTGTTGCATGGCATAGAGGTGTGTCAGCACACGAACTGATACATGCTGCAGGAGATCACGAATTCTGAAGAGACATGATCGCTCATGCCAGTCGGCAAGGCACCTGATGATGATGATGTAGATACAGTTGTGTAATATGAGAGAGATGTAGTGGTGTGACATAAAAAAGTTGTATTGTATTGGTGTATTATAAGAACGTTGTAGATGTAGTGGTGTAACATAAGAGAGTTGTAGATGTAGTGGTGTAATATAAGAGAGTTGTAGATGTAGTGGTGTAACATAAGAGAGTTGTAGGTTTAGTAGTGTAACATAAGAGAGTTGTAGATGTAGTGGTGTAACATAAGAGAGTTGTAGATGTAGTGGTGTAACATAAGAAAGTTGTAGATGTAGTAGTGTAACATAAGAGAGTTGTAGATGTAGTGGTGTAACATAAGAGAGTTGTAGATGTAGTGGTGTAACATAAGAGAGTTGTAGGTTTAGTAGTGTAACATAAGAGAGTTGTAGATGTAGTGGTGTAACATAAGAGAGTTGTAGATGTAGTGGTGTAACATAAGAGAGTTGTAGATATAGTGGTGTAACATAAGAGAATTGTAGATGTAGTGGTGTAACATAAGAGAGTTGTAGGTTTAGTAGTGTAACATAAGAGAGTTGTAGATGTAGTGGTGTAACATAAGAGAGTTGTAGATGTAGTGGTGTAACATAAGAAAGTTGTAGATGTAGTGGTGTAACATAAGAGAGTTGTAGATTTAGTGGTGTAACATAAGAGAGTTGTAGATTTAGTGGTGTAACATAAGAGAGTTGTAGATCTAGTGGTGTAACGTAAGACAGTTGCAGATTTATTGGTGTAATATAAGAGAGTTGTAGATGTAGTGGTGTAACATAAGAGAGTTGTAGATGTAGTGGTGTAACATAAGAGAGTTGTAGATTTAGTGGTGTAACATAAGAGATTTGTATATTTATTGGTGTAATATAAGAGAGTTGTAGATGTAGTGGTGTAAAATAGAAAGTTGTAGATTTAGTGGTGTAACATAGGAGAGTTGTAGATTTTGGGGTGTAACATAAGATAGCTGTAAATGCAGTAGTGTAACAAAGAAGAGTTGTAGTGTAGTGGTGTAATATAAGAGAGTTGTACTGTGCCATAAGAAAGTAGTAATGGTGTAGCATAAGAGAGTTGTAGTGTTGTAACAAAAAAGAGTAGTAGTGTTGTAACATAAGAGACTTGTAGTGGTGTAACATAATAGAGTAGTAGTGGCCTAACATAAGAGAGTAGTAGTGGTGTGACCTAGGAGACTTGTAGTGGTGTAACATAATAGAGTAGTAGTGGCCTAACATAAGAGAGTAGTAGTGGTGTAACATAAGAGAGTAGTAGTGGTGTAACATGAGAGAGTAGTAGTGGTGTAACATGAGAGAGTAGTAGTGGTGTGACCTAGGAGACTTGTAGTGGTGTAACATAAGAGAGTAGTAGTGGTGTAACATGAGAGAGTAGTAGTGGTGTAACATAAGAGAGTAGTAGTGGTGTAACATGAGAGAGTAGTAGTGGTGTAACATAAGAGAGTAGTAGTGGTGTAACATGAGAGAATAGTAGTGGTGTAACATGAGAGAGTAGTAGTGGTGTAACATAAGAGAGTAGTAGTGGTGTAACATGAGAGAGTAGTAGTGGTGTAACATGAGAGAGTAGTAGTGGTGTAACATAAGAGAGTAGTAGTGGTGTAACATAAGAGAGTAGTAGTGGTGTAACATGAGAGAGTAGTAGTGGTGTAACATAAGAGAGTAGTAGTGGTGTAACATGAGAGAGTAGTAGTGGTGTAACATAAGAGAGTAGTAGTGGTGTAACATGAGAGAATAGTAGTGGTGTAACATGAGAGAGTAGTAGTGGTGTAACATAAGAGAGTAGTAGTGGTGTAACATAAGAGAGTAGTAGTGGTGTAACATAAGAGAGTAGTAGTGGTGTAACATGAGAGAGTAGTAGTGGTGTAACATGAGAGAGTAGTAGTGGTGTAACATGAGAGAATAGTAGTGGTGTAACAAGAGAGAGTAGTAGTGGTGTAACATGAGAGAGTAGTAGTGGTGTAACATAAGAGAATAGTAGTGGTGTAACATGAGAGAGTAGTAGTGGTGTAACATGAGAGAGTAGTAGTGGTGTAACATAAGAGAGTAGTAGTGGTGTAACATAAGAGAGTAGTAGTGGTGTAACATGAGAGAGTAGTAGTGGTGTAACATAAGAGAGTAGTAGTGGTGTAACATAAGAGAGTAGTAGTGGTGTAACATGAGAGAGTAGTAGTGGTGTAACAAGAGAGAGTAGTAGTGGTGTAACATAAGAGAGTAGTAGTGGTGTAACATGAGAGAGTAGTAGTGGTGTAACATGAGAGAATAGTAGTGGTGTAACAAGAGAGAGTAGTAGTGGTGTAACATAAGAGAGTAGTAGTGGTGTAACATGAGAGAGTAGTAGTGGTGTAACATGAGAGAGTAGTAGTGGTGTAACATAAGAGAGTAGTAGTGGTGTAACATAAGAGAGTAGTAGTGGTGTAACATAAGAGAGTAGTAGTGGTGTAACAAGAGAGAGTAGTAGTGGTGTAACATAAGAGAGTTGTAGTTTTAGGGGCATAGCATAGCATAGAAGAATTCTATTTGTGTGATATTTGAGGTTGCAATGTTGTATCTTAGGGTGGTGTAGTTTAGTGCAAAGAGCTACAGTTTTAGTCACCAGGGTTAGTCTAATGAAACAAGAAGACTACAGCTGTAAGGGTGTAGCACAAAAAATCTGTACCAATGTGACAGAGTAGATTTGCAGTTATAGTTTTTAACATATTAAAAACCTGCCAGAAATGTAAAAGTTTTTGTTTTTTCAAACTCACCTCCACAAAATAATTGTGAGTCATTTAAATGTTTGTGTTATCAGTTGCCTCGTAATCACAATATATATCAAGCAGTCATGTTCATTTGTTATGAATAAAACCCAGTTTTTTGTTTCTGTTTTTGAAAGCCTTTTGTTGACAATAAAATATGTTTTCTAGTATGGGAATGTACTTCTTTGTAAAGTGTGGCCCAGAAATATGACTGTTTGGATTACTATTTACATGAAATCTATAAAAAAAATATGTTATTGAAGTTTCCACCTCATTCTTTATAATTATTGTGTTAGCCTGCAGAAATAAGGCCTAACCTGAAATCTCACATCCTTCATTGGCACTTTTCAGTCTTTCCAGTTGATAATGTTAGCTTGTACTGTAGGGACTATGGGCATCACACACCGTAGAGAGAAGGGTGAGTGTCAGGAGCAAGACCCGCTTGGGTTAAGAAAAATCTTCCACATATTTTTGTCTTCATTTTCTGCCCTATATCCCACTGGAACATAGGCCTGTTAGCCAGCTCGAGCTATTCATCCTACCCTTTGCTATTGCATGCAGCTCATCCATGTCCTCCGCATCTTTTTAGTTTAACTCTCTCACTGCATGTTTTTAATTTATCTGCCTTTTTTTTTTTTTTGCATGCCCTTGTGGCTTCCAGTGTAAAGCCCTGCCAGTTGTAATGTTCTCAGGTTTTCTCAAAGTGTGTCCTATCCAACACAGTGTATATTTTCACCTCTTGATACAATGGAGGTTTTATCTTCCAAAACTCCACATTAGCGATGTTATAATACCATGTAATTCCCTCTGTTCTCTGCAGGCACCACTTAATGAATGTTTGTATTTTATTAGTAATTGTTTTAGCTGTTCTCCATGTTTTCATTCTATTCAGCAATATTTATTTGATGTTAGAATTGAATATTTTAAGTCGCTGTGGTGCAGTAGCTAGAGGCTTGCTTGCGGACCAGAAGGTTGTGGGTTTGGATCCTGAAGGATAAGAGCTTTCTTCAAAAATGACCTTGGCTGCCAGGTCGACCCAGCCTTTAGTGGATACCCGGTCAGTCCTGGGAAGTAAAGGTGGCCGGCGTGATACTGACCACATCACCCACCAAGTGCTGATTGTTCTATAAAATATAGGTCTAGCCCTATATGCCCAATACGCTTAAGGCGGAAAAGGGTCCTTTACTCTTTTTAAAAATTTTACTTACTATAATTTTTAATTCCCTTTAACCTCCAGAAATTTCCTAATGCTATGAAAGCTCCTCTGTTCCTTTTTATATGTATTTGAAAACCTCTGTCAGTTCCTCTATCTTCATCTGTAGTACTGCCTAATTAGGTGTAAGACTCCACATCCTAGATTGGGATATCACTAGGAAAAACTATATTACTGTTTGCCTGGATTATTTATTTTTGTCTTTGGCTTATAGATTTTTAGACCTAACTGTTGTGGTCTCTCATCAAGTATGTTTAATTTATCTTGCATCTAATTTCTTGAGTGATATAGAAGAGAAATGCCAAGGCAAAGTCCAGATCATCAAGCTGATTTGTAGAGACCCACTGTATTCCATCCCTGGTGGTAGCTGTTGCGGTCAGCGGTCATCATAATCTGGTCTGTTGTCAGTAAAAATAGAAGAGGTGACAAAAGACATCCATGACATGTTCTTATTTCAAATGTATCAATTAGTAGTCCCTCATGAAAAATTCGATATTTTATATCTGCATATACTGCCTTTACTAGCTTAATAATTTTGTATAGTATATGAAAATAATATAAAGTGGTGAATTCAGTTCAATACTTAGCTCTTTCATTATGCTTAATGTGGCTATCTGGTCAGTATAGGATCTGTTTGGACAAAAATCTGCTTGATATTACCTTAGCAGTCTATCAGTGGCATTTTTTGATCTTTTCAAAATAATCCTACTTAATATTTTGTCCAATAACTGACAGCAACATAATTCCTTAGTCTTCTCTCTCCTGTTCATCTTTAGAACAATTTCACCAGATATTTTTCTCTTCAGCCTTTATTTCTTGTAATTAGTGGGCACTTTTCCATCTTTCAAGACTGATCTTGAGAAAATTTTCAGAAAGAATGATTGACATGAATAGGGATCTGTATTTGTACTTTACTTATTGAACTAAAGAATTTGATGAAGTGAAACATGAAGGTCAGTGTTCGAAACCGGGCAGTTCCCGGGGTTCACCCAGCCTCTAGGAAATAGGTACCTGAGTTGACACTCTGGGGTAAATGGAGGAACGTCGCTGTAGCTACAAAGTTAAGTGCGGACGGCGACACAGGCAAACAATTCTTATCAGCTGTCCGGACTGGTGGCGGAGCACTTATGGTTTATAACCATGTGCAATGACGCTGGTTCAAATCTCCCGACTGTACCTTTACCTTTATGAAGAAATGATTAGAATTTTGGAAACCTCAGACATTGATGGTAAAGATCTGAGAATAATAAAACACAAATACTGGCAACAAGAAGCAGCTGTAAGGACTGACAACCATGTTGGAACTTTTCAAAACATTAAACAAGGCGTTAGACAAGGATGTGTACTATCACCCAATTTATTCAATGTGTAATCATCATCATCATCATCAGGTGCCGTGCCGAATGGCGTGGGCGATCATGCCTCTCCATAATCCACGATCTTCTGCAGCATGTATCAGTTCATGTGCCAGCACACCTCTATGCTATGCAACAAGACTGTCAACAATCTTCTCTCGTTGTCTTCCTCTATCCCTCCTTCCACAGATCTTTCGAGTGGTCGCAACATGTTCTATTTTCCCTCTTCTCATAACATGGCCGAAAAATGATGACTGTCTCCTTCTGATGTCTGTGATAAGTTGTCTTCAGGCTCCCTCCTCTTTCATGCCGGGAATATCGGTTGGTGGTGACGATATAGTTTTGATCACTGAATTGGAATCACAAATGGAATAAATTATGGTCATCTGGCCCATACTCCACACTCAGAGGAAAGGCAAGAGGGTCATACAGTCAGACTGCTACTTGTACCATTGAAATTGCAACTCTTTGCTGGCGGCTGAAGATGGGGCCCGAGTGCTTATGGGAATTCCCCGAGTGCTATGATGTCGATTCTGGAAACTCAACTTCTTCTTCTTCCGCCTGCTTCCTCTTCTTCTTCTTCTTCTTCTTTTTCTTCTTCTTCTCCTCCTCCGACTTATTTCATCAAAGTATGTGTGGCAGGGGGATGTAAAGATCTTTTCTGTGCTCTTTGTCATGTCTTGTAGAAGTTAATCTTCATTTCCACATGGCCTTCTTTCATATTGTTGTTCTTTCTTACTGATCGTTATATTTTCTGTGGCACTTGGTGTATTATCATTTAATCATTAGTCCATCTCATCCGCATCTCTTTAATGAATTATATGACAGAATGTATTAAATGGCGGATACACTAATTCTTTATGTACCATGCAACCCCACCTCCTCACCCCCATTCCTAGTTAGTCTAAAGATGGGTTTTTCTTCCAGCACAGCTGTTTTAGGAGCTCTTCTGTTTAAGTTGTCAGATAAAACAATCTGTCACACTTTGTATTTAAATAATGGCAAAGCAAACAATACATTGCACAACATGTTGCCAGTCATATTTCGCTGTATCTGAGTATGTGAGCATACTTTAAGCTCTTCTGTCTAGTGTGATCTTGTGAGCATACTCTAAGCTCTTCTGTCTAGTGTGATCTTGTGAGCATACTCTAAGCTCTTCTGTCTAGTGTGATCTTGTGAGCATACTCTAAGCTCTTCTGTCTAGTGTGATCTTGTGAGGATACTCTAAGCTCTTCTGTCTAGTGTGATCTTGTGAGCATACTCTAAGCTTTTCTGTCTAGTGTGATCTTGTGAGCATACTCTAAGCTCTTCTGTCTAGTGTGATCTTGTGAGCATACTCTAAGCTCTTCTGTCTAGTATGATCTTGTGAGCATACTCTAAGCTCTTCTGTCTAGTGTGATCTTGTGAGCATACTCTAAGCTCTTCTGTCTAGTGTGATCTTGTGAGCATACTCTAAGCTCTTCTGTCTAGTGTGATCTTGTGAGGATACTCTAAGCTCTTCTGTCTAGTGTGATCTTGTGAGCATACTCTAAGCTCTACTGTTTAATGTGATCTTGTGAGCATACTCTAAGCTCTACTGTTTAATGTGATCTTGTGAGCATACTCTAAGCTCTTCTATCTAGTGTGATCTTGTGAGCATACTCTAAGCTTTTCTGTCTAGTGTGATCTTGTGAGCATACTCTAAGCTCTTCTGTCTAGTGTGATCTTGTGAGCATACTCTAAGCTTTTCTGTCTAGTGTGATCTTGTGAGCATACTCTAAGCTCTTCTATCTAGTGTGATCTTGTGAGCATACTCTAAGCTTTTCTATCTAGTGTGATCTTGTGAGCATACTCTAAGCTTTTCTGTCTAGTGTGATCTTGTGAGCATACTCTAAGCTTTTCTGTCTAGTGTGATCTTGTGAGCATACTCTAAGCTTTTCTGTCTAGTGTGATCTTGTGAGCATACTCTAAGCTCTTCTGTCTAGTGTGATCTTGTGAGCATACTCTAAGCTCTTCTGTCTAGTGTGATCTTGTGAGCATACTCTAAGCTCTTCTGTCTAGTGTGATCTTGTGAGCATACTCTAAGCTCTTCTGTCTAGTGTGATCTTGTAAGCATACTCTAAGCTCTACTGTCCAGTGTGATCTTGTGAGCATACTCTAAGCTCTTCTGTCTAGTGTGATCTTGTGAGCATACTCTAAGCTTTTCTGTCTAGTGTGATCTTGTGAGCATA